AGGCAAGTAGGTAAGGTATTTCTTGGAACACAAAGAAAAAACTCACAAGAATAAAATCAAACACAACAACAAGCAAACCAATAGTTCACTATAAATAATTTGCTATAGCAACATTATTTACTTAAAATATTATATGTTTTGTAAACCATCAATTATTGGAAATTTTTACAGTTTGTAATGACAAGATGATCTATATCCCAAGCAATTAAATTTTTAAGTCACTCAGCTTGAAAAAACATTCATGAAAACATAGTCCTTCTAAGGAGATTGGCAATCAAAAGAGACAGCAAGAGTTGAGCACCTTGGTGGTAGTTCTCAGTGACAAAATAGGTGTTGTGTGAGTAGGTTTTGTATTAACTTCTATCATTCTTCGTTATTTAAGTTTGTATTTGGGAAGGATATATGATCTCAATCACTATCTTTAGAGAAATTATATCCAATCTTTTTGCATGCTCCAGATATGTAGAGCTCATTAAATTTGCAACCAAGAACTCCAGCATCTTCACTATGGCATTGTCCAGCACCTTTACTTTGGCATTGCCCACCATTTATATGCTAGAGTAGAAACCAAATGCTGAAAGAGCATTAAACATTTCGGTTCATCTTTACAATGCATTATAAACATATTTATAATTGCAATAAACTAGAATATACTTCAGGTGTTTTAAGAAAGTTATGAATATCGTGGTAAAATATACCAAATATATTTTGAGTATAGGCACTTTGAATATATAAGGAATCGTGTGAAAACTTCAAGATCTCGCCAAAAATTTGGTGTTCAGCATTGTTAACTAGAACTTTTGATCTGGATTGTTCCAAACGTGAAAGGCAAGGCATTTGATCTCCTCCAGTAGAGAAGATAATTAGCTTTTTCATGCTCACACTGGCAGAGACGACCAGATTGGTAGAGAAAAAAGATTGGTATATTATACCTCATTCCTTGCTTCGTGCTGCTCCTTTTCCCCGTGCATTGAACAAAAACCTGCGAGGCATTTAGGAAGCATAACTTTATCTATTAAATTTTTTCTCCTTGACATTTAGCAAAATTGATTAATTTCCAATACACTTCTATATGTGCTAGGTTGACCAAATCTCTTTCCCCAAGTCCATCATATAAAGCCTGGCATGACCATCGTTTTCCATAGCCAGAACATATGAATACTTGCATCCATAGCTCGTTTTCGTCTTCCAGCTGACCCCTGCAATCCAGTGACCATGAGCACCCCATTCGTCCAGAGAGACAAAACACACGCTTGATCCCTCCCATGGAAAATCCTCCTCATGATCTCCCCGCTGTGACTACTTCTCACCACGAGATCACAGCCGGCCTCCATAGACAGCCTAAACTCCGTGCTCGGAGAGATTAAGCTGTTCCCCTTGGGTAACGTCGATCCCTGGGGATGACTCCCGCCAACTAGAGAGGTAGAAAAGATCCAGCAATTCCCGACGTCAAGGTCAACAGCCTGGGCGACCGAGTCAACGACTGTGCTGACTTGGTCAACGACCACAGCGTGGACGATACTGCCGCTGCCTGATCCACCTTCTTCAGGCCTATCGCCAGGATTGTGGTCGAATGGGGTTTGCTGGAATTCATACTCAATCCCATAGTAGCCGAGCACTATGTTGACGAGGCCATACCAGTTCTGTATTGGACCCGGGTCTAGCAGCTCTTGTCGGATGGTTGCAATCATCCGCTCAACGCTGTCCAGGAGGTCGCTCCCTAGTAGGCTCGCACGACTCGGCGAGACAGAGCAAATGCCTGCGTTCTCGGTGTAAGGTTGGTTATAGAGCCACACTCTCACGCGGACGTAGGCATTGTTTGCGTACGGCACCACGAATCCCACGCTCCTCCCTGCAAAGTAGCCAAATTGGGCTCTAAATCTCCTCCCCATGAAGTTCTCGAGGCGAACCATCAGGTCTTCGACACGCTCCACTGCAAGCAGCGCATAACCAAGTCGAAACCTGAAGATCCCACCAAAACGGTGATCCGCTGGGGGACTGTTCATAAGAGAGGAGATTTGAGCTCATGAGCAAAACAAGAATTAGAGCTGCAACAATGAACGCCATGTTTTTCATTCTCACTCGCTTCCTAGTTCTGTGAGCAAATATCTCTTATTTATATCAATGTAAGTGATACAAATGTCTTCAGTTAGAACGTACTTTTTATTTTTGGCATATTAGCTGAGTGATCAAGGAGAGATTGTGTAAAAATTTATTTTAAAATAAATTTTAAAAATTTATATTGTGTATTAAATGTTTAGTTTACTTCGAACTGAGCTTTCTATCTATTTATTATATATTTATTTTCATATTTTTCCACATATTATTTATGGCAATAAATATGTGATTGGCATTATATATTTACACATGTACATATTTATTTTTTTGTTTTGAGTTGTGCAAAAATATTATGCATACATTCACTTTTCAATTGTTATATAAACAACTGAAACATGATTGTGCATATAATATTTTTGTCATGAGGTATGCCATGTATGTGTGGGGCATGACACATTAAACTGCTAGAGAAGATTAATGCCATGTCATCTCAAACAATATTATATTACCATAAATCTAGTGAAGGTATTTTTTTTTCTATTTTTGTGTTATTAAACATAGATTTGTGATCTCTTGATTGTGATCATCTTTCTTATCTCATTTCGCTTTATGACTCAATTTTTATGTCTTGGAGGCATATTTTAATTGCAATATATGATGGAAAAAATCACATGCAATTGATTCGAGCATAGAGGTAAGAGCAAAACATTTTTTTAGGTATTTGGGGCATTAGGTGCAATTGTTTTTCTGTGAGCAAATGGATTTTATTATAGTCATGACATAATGTTAGCTTGATTTATTTTTTACATTTTTAATCATGTGCTAAAGTTTATGGTATTGTAATGGTTTGTTTGGGCTCGTTGTGCAAAAAGTTTTTTATTACCTTATTGAGGAGATAATCTTGAGTATTCAGCAATTGAGTTCAGCCCATAACATCCAAAATATATTTAAAATCCAACTCACACACTAGAAAATGTCATATCTAAAAGCTCTAAGTCTAAATTCTAATGAATAAAAAAAATTGATTAGGAATTAAATTTTTGTAATGCAAAAAAATCACATATACATCACTCATTTTACTTTGTCATGTATACATGGTAAGCATTAATGCATGCCCATGTGTATAAAGCTGTGTTCAAAATATTATTTTCTGGGCTATATATATATGTCACAACAATTTAAGTATATAAGTGATTTTGTTTTTTTATATATTTTGTAGGCTTTTACAATCTTTTGCCAGACCACCCACCCCAAGTACACCTCCTTTCTTGGGAGGTGTATATCCCCCTAAAACTGCTATTATAAATTATATGCCATATATTATTATATAATGTTTTTGATGTTATTCTATTCTTTGAGCCCTTCTAGGTGCTTATATTTATTCTTATTTACTGTTATGATTTCTAAATAAACAGAAAATATCTAGTTATCAAACCAACAGATAATATAGTAGTGTTTAAGCCTATTATATTGTTTTATAAAATTATATCCACACACACACACACGCATATATATATATATATATATATATATATATATATATATATATATATATATATATATATATATATATATATATATAAACCGTTTACTAATAAAAAAATTATTAAAAGATACTGATGATACAAATAATCTTCAATATTTAAAAGAGTGGGATTTCCTTGATAAAATTTAAGTGCACAATCTAAATAAAGTACAGAAATTTTTAAATGCAATATGTCCCCACACTCAAAAGTCCTTAAAACAGTTTGATTGTTTTTTCTTCTCATGGACAAGAATGGTCCATTCTAGCTCCTTGTGTAGACTAATTTATGCGAAGAGGGGATTCATGCAAGGATATTAAGAGCAACAGCTTAGATACTTGCCTACTGAATGTTTATGGAAAATCCAGGAGCATGGATGAGTGCAGCATGTGTCTAGTGCCTAGGAAGTAAACCCTCTGTGACTACCTGAAAATGGCAAAGCCATCTAGACATTGGAGCTGGATTACTTGATACACAATCCCTACATAAAACTTATCCCAGCCTCTTCGGCTCTTTGCCAGCCAGCTCCCCAACATCACCTTCTCCCGCCTCTTGGACTGCTGCATTGACAGGCATGCGTTTTCAAGGCCAATGGCATCTAGTGTTGCAAGTTGTTTTTGTAGAAGAAGTACATCCCATCAGACAGGATCCAAAGTCCATGGGCTAGCTACAACATATGAGGTTGTCTATGGGGAAGGCAGGGATTAATGATTTGCTACCTATGGCTTATCCATGTGTTTCTAGAGAGGCAGCAGATGGCTTCCTAGATTGCCCAGATGCTTGAGATCTTTCCTCTCAAGCTCTAAAACCTATCTTTTATGCTCTTCCTCTGCAAAAGCACATTCAAGTATATTCTTTACACCCTTAAACCAAATTCTTCTTAAGCAAGGTACAAAATTATTTTAACTATTAAATTGTTATTAATTTTTTGGACAAAAGAAATTTTAGATTAATATTGATGTTAAGGTTAAGGTTAAGATGGCATTTTTCTAAAACATTAACATTTTTTTTTAAATTTGAAATGAAAATTGGCCTTTTTTGCTGTTGATGTCTATTATTGGTTTGCTTAGGGGTGGTAGAGAATATACCTAGATTATGCTTGGATATTCTAGGATATTCTACCATCTAACAGTTGTTATTCATTTAGATTAATTTTATATTTATAATTTATAAACATGTTTATAATTTATAAACTTTTCTAAATGCTTCTTAGTATATTCTAGTTTATTCTACCATCTAATGGTTGATATGCAATAAGATTAATCTTGTATTATTAATTATAAACATGTTTCTAATTAAAATTCCATTTTATTAATTAAATTAATAAATAAGAATAACAAGAAAACCATCCATGCACAGAAAATTATTTTAGTATTTTTCAGTTACCAAAAAATAGCATAAAAAAATCCTTCGTACTCTTGGTCCCGCTGAGTTTCGAACTCAGGATCTTTTGCGTGTAAAGCAAACGTGTTAACCACTTCACTACAGGACCCATCCAATGAGAGAGAGAGCAGCAAAATTTCCCTCCCCCAAAAAGCCCACTCAAGTGTGCAGCTAAAAGTAAATTTTGACTTTGAGGTGGTTCCACTGAGTCTCGAACTCAGGACCTTTTGCGTGTGAAGCAAACGTGATAGCCACTACACTATGGAACCTAGTTGACACACAGATGAAATATTCCTTTCTGCCACGTGAAATCCCAGCACTGGACCCGTTTAGTGCGATTTACTTTGGGAAAATCTTGCGTGAGGGTTGTGTCATCATCTGGTTCTATAGTGTAGTGGTTATCACATTTGCTTAACACGCAAAAGGTCCTGAGATCGATGCTCAGTGGAACCAAATCCCCAGTTGCTCAAATTTTTTTTCTTTCCTCTTTACGCCACCGCACCACTTCACCGCCAATGGATTTGGACTACGTGAAGCTCGGCGATGGAAGATTGGTAGCGTTTCGGGAGCTGGGCTGCCCGCGCGAGGCGGCGTTGCGATCGCTCCTGGTTCTCCACGGACTTGGATCGTCCCGGATCGCAGCGATTCCTGGTAGGATTTCTCCTCTCTTTTTGCCTCTTGTTGAGCTCCAAGAAGAAGAACCAAGAATGTAGGTGTTCGCCAGGAGCTCCTGGAGGAATTTGGCGTGCGGCTGGTCGTGATTGACAGGGCAGGATATGGCAAGAGCGATCCCGACCCCAACCAGACCCTGCGCTCGTCGGCGGTGGATTTGGAGGCCATCATCGACAAGCTGGAGCTGGGGCGCAGGGTGTGGCTCCTCGGATACTCGGGCGGCGCTGGCTACTGCTGGGCTGCCGCGCGGTACATTCCTCACAGGATCCACGGCATTGCTCTCTGGGCGCCCGTTGGAAACTACTGGTGGAAGGTAGGCAAACTCTTTCCTTGAAAAGGATCACTCTCTCGTGTTCTTGTGATCTTTCTACTTTGAGCAGGGAATTTCGGATGCTCAGCGCAAGTCCATGATCTCGACTCTCACTCCAAACACCAAGCTTCTCTTCTCGTATATGAAGTATGTTCCACCTTCGATCCTCCGCCTCTATGCGCGATTTGTGCTCGCTCGCCGAGCGGGGCAGCGATGGGTGGATCACTGCAAGGCGACGCTTTCTCCCCCGGATCAAAAGCACCTCGCGCAGCACGAATTCGCCGGACTCCTGCTCAAGTAAGTCACTCGCTAGATTTTTGTCTCTCGCTCGCGCCAACTTTGCGGAAGCAGGGACAACCTTGAGTCGATCACTTTCAACCAAGGCGCTGGGCTGGCCAAGGACTTGGAGCTGCTTTGCTCCTGCGACTGGGGATTCGAGCTTGACGAGGTTGGGCGGTGCTTCGCGGGGCCGATCCACATCTGGCAGGGAAGCGACGACCGGCTGGTGTCGCTGGAGCTGCAGCGCTGGATCAAGTCGACGCTGCCGCAGACGGTGGAGCTCCATGAACTCGACGGCGAGGGCCATCTTTCGTGGTTTTGCTTCAACGACGACTCGCATCGCCGTGTGTTTGAGACGCTCTTCGCCCAATCCCCTGCGTCGGAGATGTCATATCGATCAAGCGATCGCTCCTATTCTACGAGGAGAAAACTAGAGAACGCGAACCTGGTTTAAGCAAGCTCGCCATCGACCGTTTTCGCTTGATTGTAAACGAGCTAACGAACACTTATCGCAACTTGAGTTTTCATCCAAATCTGCCAGTGTTGAAAACGTCAGGCGGTCTATACGGCCGAGGCCCAGCCACAGCTCTTGTGGTCGTCGAAATGGTGGTGTTCACAGGAGCCGGGCGCGGAGTAGCAGCATAGTATCCAGTCCCAGGATAGCTTGTCGATGGCAGCGAGCGTGAAATCCCAAACCTTTCCAGTCCAGACGTGGCACAGGAGACCTGCTGGTTGCTAATAGCTGGAGAGAATTGCTGCTGCTGGCTGCTGCTAATAACCGGAACGAATTGCTGCTGGCTGCTGCTAATAACCGAAGAGAATTGCTGCTGGCCGCTGCTAATAACCGGAGAGAATTGCTGCTCGCTGCTAGCGGTGAGAAAGTGCTGGCTGCTAACCGGAGGACTGTCGCAGCTGAGGGAGATGGTCTGGAACAGATCCGACGGCAAAAGATCGCTTGCGGACGGATACACAGTCGGACTCTTGCATGACGAGGAAACTTGCGATGAACTTGTAGTAGCTGCTGCGGAAGACTCCACCTTGATCACCTGGCGGATCGGCATCGCGCATACCGGGCACGAACTCCTGGAGTATGCACAGGAGAGACAGCAGCACATATGCGAACAATCCAGAAACACCTGCAATACATTTGCACAGCCATTAGATAAAACGTAGAAAAACAAAGACAACACTTACTGTGCTGGCATTCCGACTCGAGCACACGACGCAGCTTGATCGCCCAAGAGAATTTTCTCGTTGGCTCCCAATAGCTCCCAGGCTACTACCACCTGTGGGAGGAGTTCCTGTTCTAGAGACTGGTTGATCTATCGCTGATGCTACTCGACAAGATGTATTCGCTAGTGCTAATGCCTGGCGAACGTGAGGAGGCGCATACGTACCGGGCTTCACCGTTGGAAGAGAAGGAAGCGGTAGAAGCGGCTCATCAGTACGATGACTAAAATTCTCGGCTTGGTATGTTTTCATAGATGGTGAAGGAACTCTGGGCTGAACCGCAACTCCCTGACAAGGCGAAGGTGAAGAAGAATCGGAAGTTACGCTCTCAGCCTGTTCCTGCTCCTCATAATCCCCGTCCACGTCCATAGAAACTGCACATACTGAGTCTTCTGAAAGACCCTGGCTGATCCGTGGTGATGTCTCATCGTCTGTTGCTTCTGACTCAAACAAGGACCATCTCATGCCTTCCACACCGTCGTATAGGCTCTCGAACTTTCTCGAGTAAACTCTTGATTTGAGAACTTGAAGACGATCCTCCAAAGAGCTGAAGCACACGCATACGCCATGAGTAATATCGAAATAGAAAAACCTATGAAGGTCCAGACCTTTGAGTCAAAGTTGCCAATCCAAATACCAAGACCTTACAGCCATGATGCATATCAGTAATCTCGGAAGCGCTGTCAAGAGAATCTAAAAGTTCGTCAATGATTAATAGACGGCTGCTCTCGTCAACTGCGATAGAAAATGTTAGAGACATTCAATGCTACAAGTCACATACCGCAACGAGTAGCTAGGCACGCTTGAACTAATTTCCATGATATAGAATCCATTAACATATCAGGGTATTTTCCTTCCAGATTCTTGATTAGTTCTTCAGCTACTTCTTTAACTTCTACACTGTTCAACACATCAAACAAGGTTAGCATCACAGACGAACGATGCGATGCATACTCAACATACCTCAATATACCTTGAAGGATTCTATGACCATTTTCTAAACCTGTAAGTTTTTTAGCATGACGGGCTACAATCACAGCCGCTTTCATTGATCGATCGTCGGGTAATGACCACCGAATAATTTCAACAAGGAGTGGTCCAGTTACCTGCCAAAAGATGTGAACCCGCAGGTATCCAGCAAACGAGATCGTACCGGATGAACTCCAATGTTTAAAATATCAGCATTCGTTGTCATCTCCATAGCTAAATGCGCTAAACTTTTCACAGCTTCATCTTCAGGAAAACGAGGTTGTGGACCAGGACATCTAAGCGATGATATCAATCTCTCAGCCTGGAACATAAGATGAGCAAGTAGAAATGTCGATAATAGTCTACAGTATATACTGACCAACCATTGGATGACATATGCTCCAGATTGATGTAGAGACATAGCCGCCTACAACTTGGAGTTAAGGTCAAGATCGGGGACCACTGTTCCACTTACCACTGATCCAGTGATGCCCTTCATTACTAACCTAAGCTCTTCAGAACCTTGCACTAACGAAAGCTGGAAGAGAGTCAGGCCAAGGAAACATTAAGAACAAAACATACCATTTTCTGTACAGAGAAAGTCCCACGGGGATCATGAGCAGCTTTAACAAATCCATTCTTCCGGCATAGCGACCGAACAAGTGCAGTAAAAAATGATTCTCCATTTGTCGTGTCGTCACGAAATGCTGCTGCATAATCTAGCATGCCCTGAAGCACATAATTTGCTGATCCTGGATACCAAAAACGAAGTGAGATTTCCATAAGAGCAGCAAAAGAAACAAACCATGCAGTGCTAGCCTCAAAGCAAAAGGAGTAAGCACATCCCGACAAGTCTTTGCCACTTTATGCCGTTTAGAATAGTCTTCCCGCAGCATAAAAACTAGATTGATAGCTCTCTGGGCATCGTTCGTTGGTTAGCAGCATGCACAAAGAAAGGAGAAATCAGAAGAGCTCTCACCTTATCAAACGCCATAGCATGGATGTCTGCGTCTGGCCGGAGAGGAGGTATCACATACCCAGGAGGAACTTCGGCAACTTTAAACACCATTTTCAGCCCACCAGTCGCGGCTCGGCAAGGAATGTAGTCATTTCCTCTGCCGATCGACATGTTTCCCCTCCTCCCAAAAATATTTTCTTCGGGTAAAGGTCTATACTCTACCTTTGCTGGAAAATTTACTGTTTCATTCTTTGTTGGTGGAGCGTCGAGGTACCCTTCGATCGTTTGCCGGCAAAATGGACACTTAACACCCTTATCAGCCTGCCAGGGAAGAACTTTAGCAAGGAACCACAAGCCAAGCGCCAAGGAAACAACGAACCTTATATACATTTGCTATTCGAATCTTTTGTACGCAGTCCTTGCAAGCCCGATGCGAGCAGGGACTGAAATACACATCGCATTTGGCCGCGTCGCAGATTACGCAGCACGAATCCTCCTGCGCCATCGCCCCGGCGATTCCCACAGCCGGAAATGCCCCGCCTGCCAAGGCCGCGGCGAAAGCCCTCGCCTTGGATCGATTGATCGATTGATCAAGGGAAGGCAAGAAACTGACCTCGGCAGCTCCAAAATGTCGCCAGCGCCGCCGATCCAGGCGACCGACGGGAAGAATGGAACTCAAAAATCGAGGCGCTCGCTCTTCGCCCGGCCCAGAAATATGCGTGAGGGGTTTTAGGGGTGACGCGCCAAAAGACTGTGGAGTACGGCCACTACGGTACGACAGTGATACACAACGGTCATGGGTTCGATTCCATTCCTAAAATCACGCCATAGACGACTCATCATCTCAATCTCCGGTTTAGTAGCTTCCACGCTCTCAAGGCCGAGTGCTTGAGCGACGCCGCGAGGCTGCGTTTCTTCGTGGACTCTCGATCCAAGGTCTTGTATGCTGCTGCTAGGATGAAGATCGCGGGGTTTAATCTGGAAGATCCGAAGGAGTGAGGATCCGGAAGAACAACAAAGCTAGCCATCGCTTACTTCGAAGGCGAAGGGATTTTCCTCTTGGGCTTAAACGTCTCGATGTACCAGCCGCCGATGTTGTGAGTGAGTGATCTGGGCTGGAACAACCAGTATCTAAAACATTCCCTTCGTCGGTCATTCCTTCCTCTGGAAAAACAAGAAAAGGAAGAAAAAAGCAAACGTGTGATTCACCTGCTAGGCAACAGCCACGCTCGCCTACACCGGCAATCACAGTGCATTCTCTCGTCTCCAATTCTATACCAGTGAAGATGCCTCACCTGTAAGTCTGGTCAGGTCATGCCGCTTTCATAGAGAAACTAAACTCCAACTAGAAATTCAAGCCGTCGTGTACGTACCATGGGTGTCCTGTGCTGTAAAACAGTGTGAGTAACGACGCCCTCTCCGTCGAAAACAACGCCTTGGAGCCCCGCGTCCATGGCGGCCAGTCCCTGTATTCTTCCCAGGAGCTCGCCAGCACCGGCGTCATCGTCCGAGTAAACCGAGATAGAGTCGACGATAAAAGGCTCTTCCCGGATGTCTCCAGCGTACAAGGGCCTTCTTAGCGCGTAAGCTGCGACTCTTCCGTTGATCTTGAGCTCTAGCTTGTCATAAGCTGCTGCGTCAACCATCCGCCATAGCTTTTGCTCGTCGTCCCACGCTTGTCTCTCCCTGGGGAAGTTTTTAAGCTGGACCCGCGACACCGAGACGGTGGCGAAGAGAAACCGGCCGTAAACGAGCTGGAGTATGTCACCGACGAGAGTGCTGGCCCTTTCCTCGGCCTCGAAAGCATCCGGTATCCCGCGGAGACCTCGACACTCTGGGCCATGGTAGATGTTCTTCAGCGCTGCCGCCAAGTCCGTGAGGAATGCCTGGTAGAGGTTGGTGGTGTGTCCCAGCTCCGACCTTTGATGGACAATCCTGGTAACTTTGGATCGGTACTTCCTCAACCATTCCACCACCTCCGAGTCATCAGCAGCGTCTGCGTAGGAAAAGCCACAGTTGGAGCTCTCCCAGTTTCTAGACGGCTTTGCTTTTCTCGAGGGCGGTGCTTGGGATGAAGACGATGGTGATGACACTGATCCAAACGATGAAAAAAACTCGCTGTCATAGATGGAACGCTTATGTGGGTCGGACAAGATCTGTGCAAGGAAGACAGTGAGCTCCACTCGAAAGAATGTAATCCCTTGCAGCCTACAAGCACCCCAAGCTACGCTAAGCTCACGAATAGCAAAACTAAAGCCAGACCTGGTACGCAGCTAGAACGCGGATGAAGCGGGCAGCGCTGTCTCCCCCGCCGCCAGCGCCTTGCAAATCCGGATGCGTCGCCTTGGCCAGCTGCTGGAACGCCTTCTTGATGTCGGCATTGGAGCAGTCGCGCTGAAGCCCTAGGACCTGGTAGGCACTCTCCACCATCAGTTTGACGAAGCCCAAAAGTTTAGAAAACGGCCAAAGGGAAAATGTAGCTACTGAAATTTTTGGTCTGCCAATCGACATCACTGTTCACATGAACCCCCACGTTAAGAATCGCAGAGAAAAAAAGAAAGAACGAAAGAAAGAGCGAACTCCTATGGCGCGGAGCTACGATCCGGTTGAGCTATCAGTTGCTGGAGCGTCATCTCGTGGCAGAGTTGGAACGAATCGCCGGACCAAATGGACTTCGCCAAGAACTCGTTGGCACGGTCAGTCGGATGAAACTCGTCCCACCATACGTGGGTGCTTGCGTTCTGACAGGCCATTTCTGGGAGCAAGCACATCAGCCACCCTCCGAATCGTCCCATACCACAGCACGCGACGGTTGCAGTCTGGAAACCTGAGATTTGTTAAGGTGATCAGATTTTCACAAGGAAGAATTTTAGAATGGTGCATACGTACCAAAGCTCGAAGGATTTTGGACGATCGGGAACAAACCGTCGTATATGTCGCAGTAGATAACGTCCAGATCTGTGTGGCTTTCATACATCTTCTCCACTTCGACTCGTAAAGCGTTGTTGTATTCCTCCACCATGAAGTTGATCTCGGAGATACAGCTGCCCGTTTTGCTGCCGTCTTCGTATAGAAAGTAAGGTGTGCATCCGAGAGGACCAATACCCACGACGACCATTTTACGAACGCCGACATCATACAAGATCTGGGGAGAACGCATCAGCAAAGCATAAACGCTGTCTAGACCAGTACCTTGAGCTGTGAAACCAGCGTTGCTACGAGCAAGTTGTTGAAGTCCAGTGGCGAGATGTCAGATTCTACACCGGAGACGTTCCTCAAGTAGTAGTGAATGAAGTCGTTGCTTCCGATGGAGATGTAGTGCAGAGATCTGGACATCAACTTGCGAGCAGCTTCTCGTCCGTGATTAAACACCAGTTGGTCTTTGAAATCAGACACTTGCTGGATCTGTTCGACCAGAGGAATGTGTTGGCCCTGTATGGTAAAACACCCGAAGCCTCAATGACTTGTATTCGAAGAACAAAGAGAAAGAAAAATTACCAGGTCGCCACCACTTTCACTGAGAATTCCAGCCCCAGCAGAAGCGAAGTTGGCACCGTGTCGCATGGTAGTGATGTTAAGTCCGCTCAGGAAAGGAGCCGGGAAAGGAAGCCCGATGAACTTTGCTGGAAAAAAAAAACACAAAAAAACCAGGCTATCAGATAATGCTTAAACCAAACGTTACCAAGGTAGTCGATGCTCAAGCGACCATTGCTAAATCGTCCAGTCGGCTCGTGAGTGTCGAAATCCTTGCCATACGGAGGAATATCGGCTCTGGCCAGCGTCCTGAGGAAATTGTTGTTGCCGACATCGACAGTGGAGTCGCCGTAGACGAAATACGCTGGAACGAGCGGTACTGCGGCATTCTCCTGAACCAGCGGCTGATCTTGAGCATGAAAGAGCTGCGCGAGTGCAAGAATGCAAACTAGTGCGAGAAATCGAGCTGCATTTTCAGGAATTTGCCTCAGATATCCAAGAAACCGCCACGGCGCATAGCAAAACCAGAATCTTGAGCGATCGCACGAACCTGGGCCTGGCGCCATGATCAATCCCTCGCGCTCGTCCGCAAAACCCTACCACATAGGCGCGAAATACAAAAGCCCTTTTAGTTTTATACAATATTCTTGCATCTTTTTAACATTAAGCTCTTGTTTTATCTTTAATTGGTACAATGGTTTTCTATACACTGGGATATTGGATTTGTCCCAAACAAATCAACACGAAACTCTCGATCGACTTGCGTCTATACGAACGATTCTTCTATCCTCCTTTATCATCGTGCTAACTGGTCGTGAAAATCCTGGCACAAAAATACCAAGCACAAAAGAAATCAAGCATCGAACTATCGAGAAGACAACTTTCACAGTACCTTGAGCAAAGAGGCATCGTCGTTCGCTTCCTTCGAAGAAGAGCTGCTTCTCGAGCTCAAGCTTCCGCTGGACGAGTGTTCCCGAGTCAGGTAGAGAGATCCCCTCGTCAGAGTGGAAAAGTCTGGAGGAAATGGATCTCTGATCTCGCTGGCGCTGCTCTGAGAAGAATCGGACGTGACTGGAGGACCAACACGGAGCTTGTTGATGCGCTCGAGCCGGTCTTGGACTTCCATGGAAAGATGGCCAAAGCACGTCACGCAGACGCAAGTGCTGTCGAGGCCGCACCTCCCAACGGGACCATGAGGAGAAATTCGAGTGTGCTTGACGCAAAACACTCGCTGACACTCCCGGCAGTAGTGCTTGCTAAATCTCATACGCCAGTCCGTCGGGTTGTACCACCGATCAAAGCGATGCTTGCAGCCATCGTAGTTGCAACTGCAGAGTCACACGGCGTCGGTTAAGTCCGCTGGTGAAAAAACGACCGAACTCAAGGCTTACCGGTGCCGCCTTCTTTGCTTGAGAGCGGAGGCTTCCAGCTCTCTCAAGGAACCGCCGGCGCTTCGTTCGCTTTCATTTAGATTCGCAGGCGAGGAAAGAGACCGAGCTTCCACCGTTTGTCCCGAGTCCGCACTGTCCTCTAAAGCATCCAGTTCGATCGCGCTGGACGACTTCCCCAGTTTGGTGAGGGTGCTGGCCATGCTGACAAATGTTCTCGCTATGTCCAGCTTCTTGCTCTCGTTTAACTGGGCGTTTTGAATAGCGGCGAGCATCTCATCTATGGTGCAGTCTGGAGTCGAGTATCCTATAGCGTCACGGAAGCTGTCGCTGGGACTGAGAACTTTTTCCTCCATGCATTCCGTCGACCTTAGTTGCGGGCACGCTTGCTTCGACAAGATAAAAACCTTCCGCTGTATTGACAGCCATCCCCGGCATAGCGACACGAAACCACGAGCCAATGTTCTCAGCCAAAAGTTTTCACTGTCCCGAGCCGCATAAACTGTCAAAGTCGCACGCTTGAAGAACTTTCTCAGCACAACCACTGCGGCCAGCGTCATGCGGAAAAAGAAGCTCTGCCTTGAAAGAACTCCCAAGAGAAAAAGCCCGCCATTGACAGACCATATCCATCCCCAAGGAGTAGTGCTCGTCTCGACCGATTCTTGCTGCTTGAGGTTCACCACCTTCGCACCATGAACTAATGGCGCAGGAACGAAGTCCGAATTCTTTGCAACCGGATTCAATGTAACGGAGCGAGGTGACGCTGTGCAGTTGGTGATAGTAACCCACTCGGACGGACCATGACCACCCCAAGTTTGCATCCTGTAAGAATAAGCCTTTCCCAGGAACAACTCGCCGCTGTCAAAAAACGAAGTCTCTTTCGTATCGGCCAGTGGCAACCACGCTGATGCTGCCCCGGACCACCTATAGAGCCGATACTTATGAAACGGTGGATATCCAGCAGTCGCCGGAGGCTCCCAGTTGATCTGAATGCCACCACAACTCGAAGGTTGGCAACCCATTCCCTGAGGAGCACCGGGAGTGGTTCCAAACCCGAAGATCAGACGGACAATGGCACCTGTTATCTTCCTCCGGTGCAACGAGCTCGACACTCCAAGTTCTTCCGCAAGAGCACGGCCTTCGTTCTCAATGAGCGAAAGGAAGTCAAGCCCGTCGATGGCGTTTCGTTGGAAGGCATCCGCATACTGTGGAAGCTGCAAGCCGTGTGAGACCCAGTTCACAACCGTATCAGCTGTGAGCATATTTTGCAAGTGATCCTGTTAGAGTTTGACACGGTAAGTGCTACGTAAAGCCAGAAAAAAAAAATCAACGATTCACCTTCATCTCCTCGGAAGAAATTGTTGTTCCTCCATAGCTAAACTCAAAGTTTGGCCCAAGAGGAGGAGCATCCCTTGACGAGCCCCCGGCCTCTTCTTTAACATCAGACGAAGCGTCCAGTTCGGACAGAAACTGGACCACAAATAAAAAGAGTGGTGTTGAAAAATCTTCCAAACAAGTAGCGCATACCTTAGTCGCTTCATGACGCTCGATCTGTCCATCCCCGTCTCGATCGACCGAGCAAAAGAATTTGTGTAGATTGTAAATCGTGCCTGTCTCACACACACACACGAAATCCCTGAATGAGAACGCGAATCACTGCTCATTTCGGACAGGATGCACCTCTGGCGGAATGGCAAGTAGAAATCCTGGCGAGCAGCGCAAGAACTAGAAGAATCCAGAAAATCTTGGGGCAGCCCCAGCGGCTCATCGGCCGAACCATCTGATCGAATCAGGCCAAAGAGGCAGCCACATTCACCGCTGCGCGATCGCCACAGCGGCGCCAGGAGCGCGTACCTGGAGCGTCCGGAGGAGGATCGCTGCCCGTGACGAAGCCGATCATCGAGCCGGCCCTCGGCACCTATATACAAGCCTCCATTAGGGAAAGCTATTGGGCTAAGTAACGAAAAAGTAAAAGATCGCAGCCGTCCAGCCAGGCATCACGGGCCGTCGATTGGGTCCCTCTTGCCGGTGTTTTAGCCTGGGGGAGCTGACTCTCACTGGTACATGTGTGCAACGTGAGATCGATTCTTTTCGCTACCTACGTATCCAGCATGGTGGAAAAAGCAATCATCTCTTGACAGCTCTGATGTTTACATTGTTCACGAACTTGATTTGGTCAATCTTATCGAACAGATCCAGAAAATGCCTGGAACTCAAACGATAAAAAAGCTTTGATAAAATCTCTTTCGGTGATGCTATGTGATCACCACCATCGCTACTAGCCGCCTGTACTACACGAAGAGAGCGAGAGAGATCTCGTCCGAAAGGAACGGCTGGGATTGGGCAACGAACGGTTGCCCCTTTTCCGCGCCAACAGAGTTTTTGGATCTTTAGGTCAGCCAATCCCGGGAGAAGGATCGATCGATGGCGTCCGCGAATGCGCCCTACGCGACGCTGTACAACCAGCCCAAGTACGAGTCGCGCAAGCAGGCGGACTTACCGCCGTGGGAGAAGGAGCAGTGGGCGTGGAAGAAGAGCAAGACGTGCAACAGCGGCGGACCCAATGTGGGCGCGACGCCCGACTTGATCACGCCCGAGCCGCTACCGCCCGCGGTACCGCCCGCGGTAAGCCCGGTGCCGTGCGCCCAGTCGGCCCCCTTTGGGACCGAGGAGAACATGGCCAACCACACGGACAAGGTACGCTCGCGACACGTGTTAGGTTTGAAGTAGGGATGTGTTGAGATATCCCACATGCACTGGCGTGGAACTGGGGCAGGGTGTGGGTATAAAGAGCGAGGGTTCATTCGAGTGATATTATAGAGCCGTGTGGTCAGCGCAAAGCGAACTATTCTTTCGCCTTTTACTAAAGAATACCGTGTGCTGGCCACATTAAAGCGGCATATCAAAATTTTTGGGCCGCCTCTGCAAAGGGGCACCAACAAATCTAAGTCACTAAGAAGGAAAGCCAGTTCTTGGGAGATAGTTCTTGTTCTTAAGATCTGTTCCTTTCGATCTTACTTTGATGTTTTGTCGTGCAGCCTGATGCCGATATCATTGCGGAGAACAACAGGGCTCCGTGGGAGCGAGAAGAGAGCCCCTACTTCTCCAAAGTGGTCAGTGGATCAATCGAAACCCAATCTAAACAAAAATTCAAGGCCAACGGTGATGACCCTTTATTGTGTAGTTTATGAGCTCTGCGACGCCCCCGCCGTCTTACCTCCACACCGCGCGTTGGAGGTGATCAAAGGAAGAAGAAATCGAAGCTCGACATTGTACGGATATAATCATTCCGTACTGTTACCGCTAAGCTGGCATTATTTACCTAGCTTTCTTCGTGCGTGCGCTGGGACAAGTAAATAGCCGAGGTGATCCAGAAGCAGCGGTAGAAGACCAATGACGAGAAATGGAATAGATCGCGAGAATTTGATTTTCCTGTTGATCAATGCCAGGTTTTGTTCGCTTATATTTGTGTTGTGGTAACAACGGGACGAGTGGGGTAGGGTTTTTGGCGATGCAATGCTGCGCGTCCCGGGGGTGAGTCTCGTCCCCATCGCCGCGATCCAGGGTGGGAATTCGAGGCACAAAGCGCGAGATTTCGCTGCGCGATCCTCCTACCTGGTTTGTGGATCTGTCGCGAGAGAGAAGCAATTGCGACGTTTGCTAATGTTTGCTTATGTAGGGAAATGAGAATGGTGGTTCCGCGTCCTCAGAGGGTGGTAAATCTTTCTTCGTGGCTCGATCGATTCGAGGATTTTGCTCTAAAGATCCTATCTTCCTTGCAGGACGCGACGGAGTGACGAGGGTGAAGTTCGTGCTACAGAGACAATGCATGTTTGGCGAGCATTTCAAAGTGATTGGCGGCCATCCAGCGCTGGGGGAGTGGGATCCCAGGGCAGCGATACCTCTAGAGTGGTCTGATGGTCACAATTGGACGACAGAACTAGTAAGCACCACTCTAGGACGTAAGTGTGGAGTGGATTTCTTCGTTTCTCTTCGTCACCCTCATTGCGTGTTTCTTGCTCAGGACGTGCCACAGGGGAGCGTCTTCGAGTATAAGTTCGTATTGCAATGTCAGAATGGATGGATTCACTGGCAGCCCGGCCCCAACCGCGTCTTCTCGACGCCGGAAAAGAAGCCGTCGCTGGTTGTCTCCCAGACTTGGGATTTTGATGCCAAGGGTATGGAAGACGGCGACGCCACTGAAGCTCGAGAGGAAAGTTTATCAGGTGCTGAAGAAGCTCGTGGAAAGAGCATGCTAGAAACTGAAGCTCCACAGGAAACCATGGCAGATACAGAAGCTCGTGGAAAGAGCATGCTAGAAACTGAAGCTCCACAGGAAACCATGGCAGATACAGAAGCTCGTGGAAAGAGCATGCTAGAAACTGAAGCTCCACAGGAAACCATGCCAGATACAGAAGCTCGTGGAAAGAGCATGCTAGAAACTGAAGCTCCACAGGAAACCATGCCAGATACAGAAGCTCGTGGAAAGAGCATGCTAGAAACTGAAGCTCCACAGGAAACCATGCCAGATACAGAAGCTCGAGAGGAAGGCACGGCCTTGGCTAGCGAGGGTGGAGATCAAGCAGCCATTTCTTCCCTGGAATCAAGACAGCTTGGTGAGCAAGCAGGATCAGACAGTGAACAAGAAGAACAAGAAGAACAAGAACAAGCTTTTGAGGCCTGCATCGAACTCCCTGATACTCTTCCCAATTTCGACAGCGCGAAAGTATGTTGCTTCTTTCTTTTCCTTTGCTTTTGGTGGCATGAGCTTTGCATTCCAGGAGAGGGATGTGATCGAGGTGCAAGTTTCAGAGGTTCGTGTGGAGCCTCAGCTCCAGCCTACAAAACTCACCGTGTGGCAGAAGGATCGTACCTGGTTTTCAAAAGTGCTTTCATTCGTTTTTAAAAGATGACAAGGTCTCGTGGTTTACTTCTGTGTTTGCGAGATCGTTATTCGCATGAAGTCGATGAGCGCACAGAGGCGGCCAAAGAATTTAGTGTCGAATGCCGCATAGGAGTGTAATATCTTAACTCATCTTCGCAGACGCCGAGAGATTTAAATATCTATAATAATGATTTTTTTAACCACGTCTTGATGTTTGCTCTCAAGGTTGTTAATTGCAGTGTGAAGCGAAGAAAGTGTTATGAATGTCTAGATCTGGCCAAAAAAAAAGTTTAAACGACAAAGGAAATCCAATCAATGGTATTCTAGTATTACTAAAGCATCCAAGAGGCTTTCAAAAACTAAATTGGATACTAAACTGTGTAGGGAGTTGGGAGTTTCATTAGGATTTACAAACATCTCACTATCATTTTCTTGGGCGAAAAATAAAATTTATTTAGCCATATTCTAAAAGTTTCAAGAAAGATGAATCTTATAAGCCTTGGAATGTACTTCAAGCATGAATTCGAACTATAAACTACAGATTCCACTAAAGAAAAACATTGTGGGCCCAATCACACTCCAGTGACCTTGAGGCTAAGAAGAACAGTTAGTGAGCCACTCCTCTTGCTGCCTCCCTATTGCTCCCTATTGGACAACGGTCATTGAGTGTCAATGCCAGTTAACACATTGCATGTATAGTTGAATGGCATTGTAGAAGGTAAATGTTTTTTTATGTGTTTGTAATGGGATTTTGTAGCTAGATATACCTTGGCTTAAGGAAATTATTATGCTTATAATTACTTCTTCAATTCTTCTTTAGATCTGGTTAAAGTGGAATACAACAATAACTGTTATATCTGTGAGCCAATACATGTAGGCCCAAGCATGTTGAAACACTAACTAGTTTTTTATTTCTGTCATTTGGATCTCTAAGATAATCTGCATCTGCAAATCAAATGATTTGAGAGCTCCCCTTGTCACCTGTGTTGCTGAGTACAAAAGACCCAAGTGCTTGTCTCTGCAAGGTAGTGAAAAAATTTCATTGGAGCAATTAGCTGGACAAGCAAGAAGTAGTCCATGGTGGCAACCTCAACAACATGAATCATGCATCAGCCATCAAGCAAGTTATCTGGCTCAGTAAATTATTTCAGGACTTGGGAGTTGCACACACCTCTACACCGACTCAGCTCTACAATGACAATTCCTCAGCTGTGCAACTTGCTCACAATCTTATACTTCATGGCACAAAACACATTGGGGCCAGATTTCACATTATGTGGGATCATGTCTCCTGCCAGCAAATATCTCTCAACCACACCCTGCTGACATTTTCACTAAGGTTTTGGCACCACAAACTCTTGGAAAACACTTGGCTGGGCAGCCAAGTGTGTTTTACGCTTCTTTGTTTTCAGACAGCATATTCTCAGAAACTGCCTTTTGCATTTATCCAGGGAGACATATCCATCGAACTTTTTCCTGCGCTTATGAATGGGACAGATCCTTGTCGCTATTTTTTCAGGCTTCTTCAGCACTACTCGCGTTTCATGATCAGCAGCACGGGACTTCGACACAGAAACGATTCTAGCAGGGTCCGCCGAATGCAACTGGAAAGGTAACTGCTCGGTTTTTAACATGATGTTGGAAATGATTCTTCTCCTGTCAAGTAGCCAGACAATGTCCCAGTTTTCGAACTCAGCCCGGAAGTTAAAAGCGGGACCGAACAGCTGAATGTTTACGCCACCTAGACTAGATGGAGATGAGAAACGAAGAAAGGAGATTTCAGTTGTAATTGTTCCAGTAAACCAACTCTCGGCTGTTGATGACGACGCTGTTCTCATAGAGGGGCATCACACGAGCTAGAGCAATGAGAAAACAAAATCCAAGGGATATTTTACAGGAAAACTTCCATGCTATGCCCTGGCGTGGACGTTGGAGAGCAAAACGAAGGGGCCACCATCCTGGTTTTCCAGATTGTGAAGCTCCGTGGCTGCCAAAGATGCCTTTTGGACGTTTCCTTGCAATCCACAGGCGCTCAACACCGATCTCCACGATACAGTGCCAGGCTCAAAAGGCATCTCTAGAACAATCTCCTGTGCATCCCCAATCCTGCCCAGCCTCCCCAGCAGATCGATCACGCAGTTAAAGTGGTCGACCACGGGAGCAATCTCAAAGTCGCCAACCATGGACGAAAACTCACAGCACGCGGTGGCCAGCATCCCGGCATGGCTGCAGACGGATAGAACACACACGAAGCTAACCTCGTCCACTTCGATCCCTTCCAGCTCCATCTCCTTGAACAGCTGCAGCGCCTCCGCCCCTCGCTCGTTCTGCGCATACGCAGCCAGCATCGAGTTCCAAGCCACTCGGCCGCGATCCTCCATTCGATCAAAGATCTCCCTGGCGGCCTCGGGACACCCGCATTTCGCAAACATGCTCACGAGCTTGGTGTCGATACCGGCGTCCGGCGGATGGACGAGTTCTTCCACGATCATGTGAATAATCTTGGCCTTCGTAGTGCAGGCGAGCCCGGAAGACGCATCTATGACTCCCATCAGTGCGGACTTGTCCGGATCGACGCCCTCAATCGCCATGCATTGGAAAACTTCGAATGCATCCCTGCTATGTCCGTTCTGGGCATACGCCCAAAGCATGGCCGACCATGTCAGCGTGTTTCGAATCGGCATGGATTGGAAGATGGAATGCGCTCGCCCCGGCAAGCCGGCCGATCCGTAAGCTGCGATTGCCGCCGTTGAGGATGCGACGTCCCACTTCGGCATCCGGCAGTAGACAGCCTCCGCGTGAGCAAACTCCCCGTTCTCGGCATCTGCTGCAAGCATAGCGCTCCAAGAGACCAAGTTCCTCTCCGGCATGCTCGTGAAGAGGTATCTAGATTCCTTCAGATGCTCGCCCTTTCCTAGAGCCGTGACCATTGCTGTGCTAGAAACTACATTGCTATGTGGGATCTTGGCGTAGATCTCTTTCACTTGATCCAAATCGCCCGCCTCGGCAAATGCCGTAAGAAGCGCGTTCCAAAATGGAAGATCTCTCCCGGTCGCCTGATTGAACAGCGCCATGGCCCGATCCAAATCGAGATTCCGAGAAAACCCCAGCATCATTGTGGTACACGACACGGCGTCTCTTTCATCCATCGCCTCGAAAATCACCAACGCGCTGGCAAAATCCCCGTGCTCCACAAACGCGCTCATCATCGCGTTGCAGCTGGGCACATTCCACTGCGGCATCCGGTGAAATATCTCCTCCGCTTCTCTGAGATTCCCATTCTCGGCGTTCGCGACGATCATCGCCGTGCAAGGCACGACAGTGCGCTCGGGCATGGCATCAAACAAGATTCCCGCCTCTAAAAGATTCCCTTCCTGGGCATATGCTGTCACAACGATGCTCCACGAAACGACGTTGGCGACGGGCATCCGTGCGAATAAACCGCGCGCCTCATCCACATAACCGCGCGCGCCATACGCCGTGATAACCACGTTCCAGACGACGATGCTGTGCCCGGGCATCTTAGCCAGTATATGCTTAGAATCAGCAAGATGCCCATTATGGGCATATGCCGTGACAAGGATTGTCCACGAGTAAACGTTTCTCTGGTGGATCGCATCAAATACTTCGCGCGCTTCGATGACGCTGCCACAGCTGCCGTACATCTGGACGAGAAGATTCCCCACGAATCTTTCTCGATCCCGGCGACCGTGGCGGGCGAGGAGAGAGTGGAGTTGCCTGCCCCTGGAGAGCGATCGCGCGCTGCCAAATTGCCTCAGCAGCTCGGCGCAGCGCTTCAGTTCTAGCTGGGGATCCGGTTCCTGAAGCTCGATTTTGGCTGCAATTGTAGCAATCGATCTCCGGAGTCCCATTCACTCCATGGTTGAGATCTAGGGTTCTCTCGTCGTGATCCAGCGGCGGCATTGGCAGCTACCAGGCTCTGGACGAAGAAATCTCTTTGGGATCCAGTGGTAGCGAGGAAGATCCTCCATTCCAAGCTCCCAGCAGCAAAGGGCATACTGGCAATGAGCTCGGCGGCATCGCGCGCGCGTCCTCCTCGGCACAGCGCATCGATCACACAGCAGTAGTGGCTCCTCCAAGGTGTGATTCCAAAATCCGTGCTCATGGACGCGAAGCAATGCCGCGCCGCCGAGAATCTGCCGTCCCGGGCCAGCGCCGCGAGAACAGACACGAAGCATCCAGCGTCGGGAAGAACCTCCGCCATGAGCTTCATCCCATCGAAAATCTGGAGCACTCTTTTGGAATCTCCACTCTGGGCATTTGCTGCCAGCGCGGTGTTCCACGCGATTTCATCCTTTTGGCCCGGCATTGCGGAGAAGAGCTCATTCATCGATCGGGTGTGTCCAGCCATGGCAAGCGCCACGAGCATCGCGCTCCAAGAGAAGAGATCCCGGGCAGGCATCGCCGCGAAGAACGAGCTTACCTCTTCTAGATGCCCCGTTTGGGCAAATGCCGAGATCATGGAGTTCCAGGAGACAAGATCGTGAAACTCCATCGAATTAAAGATGTGCTTCGAAGATTCTATTTGACCGTTTCGCGAGTACGCAACAAGCATTGCATTTTGTAGTGCTAAATCGTGTTCGTGTGATGAATCATAGATCGCCTTAGAGATCTCCAAATCCCCGCTCTGGGCAAGGGCACTAAGGATTGCCGTCGAGGAGATCAAGTCCCACTCGGGCATGGAAGTGAAAACCTCCTTCGCCATCTCGCAGATGCCAGATTTTTCGCACGCTTGTAACAATGCTGTCCAGGAGATCAAACTTCGCATCGGCATCGCCAAGAACAGCGCTTCCGTTTCCTCCAGATGCCTCGCCTTGGCAAAAGCGCACGTCATTGCGTTCCAGGTGATCAAGCTCCGGTCCTCCATCTGATCAAACACCGTCTTCGCGGCGTCGAGATCGCCGTGCTGTGCGTGCGCGCAGAGCATCGCGGTGGCGGATATGAGATTCAGGAGCGGCATCCGGTGGAAGAATTCGGCGGTGTCGTGGTAGCAGTCGTTTGAGACGTAGGCGACGAACATAAAGTCCCAGGAGAAGGAATCGCGCGCGCCCATGGAGTCGAATATCCTCCTCGCGTTCCTGGCGCTCCCACAGCGCCCATACATTGCTATCAGATGGTTGCAAAGGAAGACATCGCAATGCTTGAGCTGGATCTCTTGCTCGATCCTCTGGGCTTGGCTCAAGTGTGAGCATGTCATCACCAATCTAATGCATTCCTCTCTATCCATACTAAGTAGTTCCATAGCAAATCAGCAAGAAGTTCTTTCTTCTTCCTTCCTCTCCCTTCATTTCTTCAACACTCTACACTCTTGCTCTGCAAATTGGACAAGAGGTGCTCAGCGAGAGCCACTTTTGGATGCACGGCGAGTGGAAGCTGTGCGAGCATTTGAGAAACATCCGCTCGCCCACCATTCGATGAGCAGGATCACTCTCCTCTTGCAATTCACCTAGGCATATAGCGCAGCGCTCGTCACCAATGATTCTTCTTGATCCCGCGGCGATGGAGGGCTGGATGGAACAATCAAGCATTTCCAAGAATGGCCTTTCTGTCCCGTGGCGAGCGGGAAGAACACCAGTTATCCTGTGCTCCTCCTCTCCGATGAAAAAGCTGTGCTCCAAATCGAGCTCAATCTCTTCTTCGCCACGGCAATTGAGAACTCCTTCCAGAGCTGATAAGCTGAGCAACACGTAGGCAATAAGCATCGATCCCAGCGCTGCTACTCCAATTTGGATGAGAATGTAGCCCTTGGCAAACGGCAGCAGCACCATTGCCAGCAGTAAGCACACAAGGCTGGCGCCCATATCTTGCAGCATTTCAACCATCTTCTTCTTCTTGAATCTCCTTCTTTGCAAGCTAGTTATTTTGGAGGACAAGAAGCTTCTAATGCAGCCATTGAGTTCTCCTTCTTCTTTGATTCTGTCACTGGATAAAATCCTGCCAAATGCGAGTGAATGAAGAATCGCTGGGAAAGATCAGGATCAGTGATCCTGGTCGCCTGGCTACAACGAATCCCATATACAAGACTTTCAAAGATTGCGAGTGTCGCCAGTACTCTATACACTGTCCCTGATATGTTTTCTATGAGTGTAATTTCACGGTGCATTTATTTATGGACATGGTGTGATGGTTCGTTTTAAAGAACCCTCTTGCGTGTCTTGGAATATATAACCACGATTTCAACCATGAACACTAAAGAAACATCCTAGTGTCACGCTTTGATTTTTCAGGTGTTGAGAAGATCATGTAAATAAAAACTCTGTAATTTGCTTTCCTGTTACATGCCAATACAATCAAAATGTTGGAAGAGGTTTTCCAGCTAGAAAGCTTTGGAACATTGCGAGCGCTGGGCCTGGTCGATCCGTGGGAACCATGTGGCCGGCTCCTCGAATCGTCGCAAACGTGAGACCTTCGTATACCTGAGTCCATCCTCCAACCTTTCAAACACACCCCCCATGTTATAATCGACCAATTGAAGTTAGAAACCAACCTCATCTTCGTAGTCCCACGTATACCAGGGCGTGTGTACGGTGAGATTGAGAGCATCGATCCAGCTTCGGCTTGATAGTGTGGACACAACGGAATCCCAATCTCCACTGGAAAGTAAAACCAATGCTTAGCAGCACAAAACAAGTTAAAGAGGTACCTGTAAATCCAGATTCTTATGCCGCTTGTAAGAAGCTTTTTGTACACAGGAAGCATAGAACCATCAAAATCTGACCTCGAATACCCAAAGTTGATAGTGTCGCTGGACAAAAACACGTTTAAAACTTGGACATTTCTTTGAGCGAATATTGATTTACCTGCACATACTCCAATCCACAGGACGCCTCGCGACATGAAGGGCTTCCTGAACGTCGTGCGAGTTGAGGAACGACCCTATCCAATCTTCGCAAGTATCGTACACTCTCCGCAGCAGATTCTTGTGAAGGTCGACGTCACGTCGACGGTTTCTCACCTGGATGGTGCAGTCGTCCCTGTACACGTTGTACGGGTTGATGAACTGCGTGAGCCTGTTGATGCCTTGGTTTGCGGCGCTGCACTTGGCGGCGTCACCTTTCGGGGAGAAGCAGTTCTCCATAGCCTCGCTGTATATGTCATCGGAGATGATCGAGTGTGTGTGCAGGAACTCGACGTTCCCGGGCAGCTCAAACTTGCTGTCCGTCCAGGCATTGCCAATCTGTGGCATTTGGATCGAGACAGCGTTAGTGTGATCGAACTGACTTTAAGTAAAGATTAGATCTAGCATACCGCGATTCCTTTGAAGTTTATGGAGCCGCCTTGAGAGTTGTAGCTCAGGATCTTTGATGCCAATGTTGGAATGTAATGCCCTGTGCCGCGTTTTTCAACACCACAGGTCTAAAGCATGATCCACTCTCGAGCTTACCTGCATAGCTCTCCCCAGTCACGTAGAAATCGTTCTTGGAATACTCTGGGAAAATTTTTAGCCACTCTATAAGAAACTGTAAATTCTGGTCGGCTGTAGAAACAAATTATCAAGTGTTAAAAGAATAACTGAAAAGAGGTTAACGAAACAAACCGGTGTTATCATCTGTATATGAATCATCAGAAGAATTCGAGTATGAGAAGCCCACACCGGCAGGGGACTCTAGAAAAATGATATTTGCATCTGCAAGTAGAGATTGGCAATCTTGTTTGCCAGCAATCTATTAAATTTTGTATGATCTTACTCTTGTTCCATGAGTATGCGTTGAGCTTGAGACCATTCTGCGACGGCCGGAAAGGTCCGAGCTCGCCAAGAGCACCCGATCCGACCGAAGAACAACCGGGACCTATACAAGCAAAAGCTCTAGAGATTCTTAGCAAAAACGAACCGCGTTTTCGTTCTTTCTTTACCTCCATTGAGCCACAAGACGAGAGGTAACGAAGATGGAGCGTTGCTAGTAGTGTCTGCCTCGAAAAACCAATAGAAGAGTGCCTTGCCTGACTTGATTGGAATGTTTCCAGCGTAGTGTTTGAATCCAACTTGTGGCTGTCCCGGAAGCTTGGTGACAAGCTGAGATGGATCTGCTGCTAGAGAGAGTGAAATTGCCAGGATCGCAATTGTGGAAGCTGCAAGCAAAGAGCTTTGAGCTGCCATGATTTGTTACTCTCTGATTGGTCTTAGTGACTTTATATATACATTTTAGTATGAAAGATTCAGTACTCAAGAACACCTTACGAATCCATTCTCAATAATTTGTCGCCAGATGTTACAAGATTTATCTGTGGATGTTTATAAAGTAAGATGGATTCTTTCTTTGCTTGATTCTCCATTTGGAGAGATTACGCCAGCAAGATGGTCAAACTGGAATGTTTGACAACGTGACAAATCGGTGATTTGCAAATTATAGTGATGCTTTGGCAAAGTTTTCCTCCATCACTTAGTAGATTTGCTCCGGCATTTCATCGAAGAGTCCCTTTGGCCTCTCTGTGCGTAGGCTGATACAGATTATGCGCGTTCTGTGCGTAGAGCTCGTTCCACCCATCGCATCTAAGGCATAGCTTATCCGTTTTAAGCAAATTTCGTTACGTATGGAAGCATATTCTCCTTCTTCCAATGCCGGAAGCGCAGCACGACATCGCGCAGCTCATCAGGTCTTGCGGGAATTCCAGAAATCTCCTGAGGGCACAGGAGCTCCATCGCCGGATCCTTGCGGAAAACCCACGCGACAGGTTTCTGGCCAATTTGGCGATCGAGATGTTTGGGCGATGCGGCAGCCCGGAGGACGCTCGTCGGGTGTTCGATCGGATTGAGAGTCCCAATACGTTCTCCTGGAACATCATGATCTCGGCATATGCCCACAATGGATACGCCACCGAGGCGGGAGAGTTCTTCGCCCGAATTCCCCGCCCGGACGTGATCTCGTGGACGGCCATGATGAATGCATACGTGGAAGCCGGTGATCTAGCCCGAGCTAGAGTAATATTCGATCAAATCCCTGAGAAGAATCTTGTGTCGTGGAACGCAATAGTCGCAGCATATGCCATAAACGGGCATTTGCAAGATGCTAAGAAACTCTTTGATAAGATGCCCGTGAAGACGGTAAACGCGTGCACAGCGATGGTGGAGGCTTACGGATCCAACGGCGAGCTACACAAGGCACTCCACGTGTTCGAATCTGCACCGGACAAGGACACCATCCTGTGGAACGCAATGATCCAGGCATTCATCCACAACCAGAATATCCCCCAAGCCAGGAGGATCTTCGAATCGATGCCCAGGAGAGATTCCTCGTCCTGGAACACGATGCTGGCCGGCTACGCGGGAGCGGGCGATCTGGGGCAGGCCAAGTGGATGTTCGATGCCAATCCGACCAAGACCGTTGTTTCGTGGACGGCCATGATCACGGCGTACGCCTTGCACGGACTCATGGAAGCCGCCATATGCGTGTTCCGCGCGATGCCGTACAAGGACGTGGTCGCCTGGAATGCGATGCTCCAGGCGTTCGCGGACAATGGGGATCTCCAAAGCGCGCGGATGATCTTCCACCAGATCGATCGCCCGGATCCGGCGTCCTGGAGCGCGATGATCGCGGCGTATGCCCAGCACGGGCATCTCGACGACGCGCGGCGTGTCTTCGATTCCATCCCGGCCAGATTGCTGCGCCGCAGCGTCGTGCCGTGGAATGCGATGCTGGCGGCCATCGCGCAGCTCGGCACCGCAGCTGCGGCCGTGGAGTTCTTCTCCCAAATGCCCACCAAGGACGTGGTCTCGCACACGCTCGCCATCGTCGCGCTCGCGCGCAATGGCGATTTAAACGACGCCAGGAGAGTTTTCGATGCGATGGAGAGGCGAGATCTCGTCGCTTGGGCCGCGATGCTCGCGGGCTACGCTGGAAATGGGCGATTGGACGAGGCCGAGGCGCTGTTCCAGAGAATGCCACAGAGCAGCGTTGGATCGTGGAGCGCTGTGATCCACGCGTGTGCGCAAAACGGGCAAGGGGAGGCGGCGCTGGATTTCTTCCGGAGGATGGAGCAAAGAGGAGTGGAAGCTGACGCGCTGGCGATCATGGGAGTTCTCGCGGCGTGTAGCCATGTTGGATCGGTGGAAGAAGCGTGCTACTATTTCACTTCCATGGAGATTGACAGGGAGATCCTTCCCAAGTTGGAGCACTACCACTGCATGGTTGACGCGCTGGGACGGTCGGGGAGGATGAGAGAGGCCGAGGAACTTATCCACACCATGCCGTTCCTTCCAACTTCTATATCGTGGACGACGCTTCTGGGAGCTTGTAAGATCCACAAAAACGTCGAGCTTGCCGAGCTTGCTGCGGAGAACGCTCGCCGGCTCCAGCTACAGAACATTGCGTCCTACGTGCTGCTCTCGAATTTGATTGCTGCATGATACGAGATCAAAACTTTGAAACGGTGCAGAACCACACGAGAACGAACCTGTTTGTGTAGTTTCACTTTGGAGTGGCACAGATCTGGCGGGTGATCGTTCCATTGAATAACGCACACGCCTGAAAGAAGAAAGCGTTTACTTCTGCGTGGAACAAAGTCTCAACATACCAGCTTCGCACTAAGTCCGATCTTATGAAGGTCCTGGAGCTGAGAGTTTACACGTATACCACCTTGAGTTAGTATGTGACATTTGCTAGCAAGTCTAACCTCCTTGATTGGCGATTTCTCATTTTCCCGTAACTGTAGTATGTAGTCCGCTCTCTTTTCTCCAATACCCTGTGAGGTGCTACTGCTTAGAAAGTGTTACAATTTGTTAAAACTCGAGCACACCTTAAGCGCCAGCAATTCCTCTCTATAAACCGAAAGATCAGCGAGTTAAAGCTCATGCAAGAGCGAGTCAATACAAAAATGAGTACCTCTTTCCTCTGTTTAAGACTTGGATGTATTCCTTCATTAACGTATCCTGTCCAGTTTTTGCATGGTTAGAAAGACCGAGGAAGGGTAAGCGACAGTTTTATTACCTGGACAAGCTGGCTTCGCATGTTAAGCTTTTCCAATGGTGTCTGGCTCGAGGACGAGTCAGGCAGGCACTGGAAAATGGGACTTAAGTCGAAACTTTTTTCTTGATTGGATGGAAGAGGAGAGAGCGCCTCACGCATGGAAGTTCCTAGACAACGAAGCTTTGCACTGAGCGGAGGAGATTTCGGGCTCCCGAGGTTGAAAGGAGAAGTTGGAGCCACGTTTTCTTTCTCGAATTCTTCTGCATCACAGTGGAGTTTCGGTGGCGAAAGCATTACAATTTTTGTACCTGTATGTGCTCCAGTCTGAAACGTAGGCAGTTCTTTAAAAACTTGGAATTTCAAGCCCGTGTCTGTCCGGAACCGGCTGCAAAAAATCGAAAGAGTCAAACCATAACCCGGTACAACTCTTCACTTCTGAACCTGACTTCTGATTCCTCTTTGCAAGATTTTTGCAGCGATGACTTTCCCTTCAGACCCGCTGGGGTGGATCTTTGCAATGGGGAGAATAACCTGGCTGGAGATTTTGCGCAGTTCTTACTTCTTTCCTCTCGCCAAGCTTTAAGTTTTGCTTCCATGTCAACTTTCTCGTGTGGATCGTCTTCAGCGAACTTATTCACTATCTGTCTTGACTTTGCGGCAAGATTTAAGGTATGTATTGCTTCTTGATACGAGCCCGGGTTCTACTGAATATAAGGTTTAGTACGAAAGCATTTTGTAAAATTGCCAGCAAAACTTACCAGGCATGCAATCATAATGGCACAGCTTGTTCCTCCCAGCGAGTCTTGCAAGATTCGTGTCAGCTTGCTGTCCCTGTATGGTATCCTAGTTTCTTTCGAGTTCAGCGCACAAATCACGTTTGAAAGAGCAAACAATGATTGATTGATACGACTGCTTTCGGCTAAACGGACACCTTCATTTCCAGACCGACGATTATCCTCGTTTCCTGAGACATCAGGCAAATGCATTGAAAACTTTAAAGCATAGAGATCGTTAGAAGCGATGCCATACCTGCAAGATCAATAAGGTTGAGCTTCCCGACTGCCATCTTCTCGATGTTATCCAGGTTTCCAGTTGTTACTGACACAGTCAAGATGGCATGACTTCGACTAGAAACGTCATTTAGTTCAGTCTGGCCCGTCTTACGGCCGGAACAGCCTTTTAAATACACCGCTTGAAACTCCTCGATATCTTTAACAAGAACCTGTTTGAGAATTGAAGCTTTGAACAAACGACGAAAGGGACAAGGAACTATGCCTTACCTGGGATAAACCGCGAAGCTGAATATGTCCGTGGATATCATCCATCACAGAAACTTCCATTCGTTTTGGTTCCAAAAGGTCATAGCAGCGATCCATATATATCTCACAGTATGATACATTTATGGTGGCCTCCACCGCATTTGCTATGGAGAGGATTGCTGCCATAGTTAAGGGAATGAGCCCATCTTTTCCCACTCCCTGGAGAGGAAAAAAAAGAAGAAGAAAAACTTGATTCATTCACAAGGAAGAAACAAGAGAAACCTCACCTGCATTGTGTGGGTTTTGCCACTGCCAGTAGCTCCATACGCAAAAACCGTAGCGTTGCAACCACGGAAAAGTATCGGAACGATTGGTTCCATCTCCATCTTAAATATGTAGCTGATATGGTCCTCGGCTCCATAGCAAAAGTCGAGCTTGTAAGTCTCTCTCCTACTGTTAGACAAAGAACACACAAAGTTGCCAAGAAAATGGAAGTTTATCCTCTTTCCTTACCCAGTGATCTCGTTCTTTATGTGAAGACTACTCGATTCCGTGTCATTGTCCCTGCTAATGCCAAGACAGGAATTCTCGCCTTCTTCCGCGGACAGGAACGGCCGGATCCGGCAAATCACGCGAATCCTCGAGCTGGGCGCGTTCCTGGCGACCCTCGCGGGAGTCCCCACCAGGGATTTGCCGGGCGTCCGGACCCTAGGGCTCAACATCCTGGAAGATCTTTGAAACTAGAGGAGAGATCCAGCGCTAGAAATCGCTTACCAGCTTGAGGAATTGAAAGAGTAGCGATCGAGCGCCTCTTGGTCAGCGTCCTCGCCGGTCTCTGCTCACTCTGAATTCCAAGGCGCCATCGCAACGAGGGCCGTTGGATGGAAACCGGCATATTCCAGCGATCGAGAGCCGCGACTAATTATAAGATTAGCATAAAAGTAACCCTTTCCTACGGTATAAAAGCGAGAGGGGGTTGCCATTGGCTCGGCTATCGGCTATTCGGCAATAGGTTTTTGAGAGGAGAGAGAAGAGAGAAGAGAAGGGAAGAGATCAAGAGAGATGGCACGCACTGAGGGATGTGGCTGCGCTACTCCATGCCCTTGCGGCGACGCTTGCAAGTAATCTCTCTCGCCCCCTCTCCCTTTTGCCCAAGCTTTAGACACTAATCGCTGTGTGTGCTTTCATCTATAGGTGTGGGATGGACAAGGAGAAATCGTCCGCTCCAGGCGCTGAGACCTCATCGTAAGTTTGGATCGTGCTCGAATTCGCGGCCCTTTTCAATCTTTTGATTGATGGCTTTGGCTTTGCGCAGATCGTTTTGCAGCTGCGGCGAGAAGTGCAGCTGCGACCCTTGCTCGTGCTCCAGGGTGAGCGCCTCGGGCGACGGCTTCTGCAAGTGTGGCAGCGAGTGCAAGTGTGACAAGTGCTCCTGCGCCAAGTCGGTGGTGGCGACGGCGTGAACCAAGTGTCCTGAGCGTACTCCATGTAAGAGGAAACATGTGTTCCCTGTTGTCTAGAGGACAGTTTATAAAAGCTTGTACTTTCTAGCTTCTTATGAATCAAACAAAAGTTCCATCGTTTTCCTTATAACTTTTCCTTAGTACATTCCATGTTTTAAGCCCACATCAAACTCATCATAAAAATAAAAGACCAAACATGCATATCACACACTTGTACAGGCCAAAACATTTCACTCTCATAGTCATCGGTCAAACTCAAAAATGTCAACGGTCAATTCTAATATTAGGGCTCTTAAAATCTAGGATCCCTAAAACGCGCGGGTTTCTTGAATCTAGGGCTGGTGTATGGAAGAGAGGCATGGCGCACGGCCGCAGCACCAGGTGAGTAGTAGCTCCGGGGGATCCTACGCGCATCCGCCGGAATGCCGCATCATCGACCTCCCCCCGGTGGTAATCCTCGAGATTTTCCGGCATTTGGACCCGCGGGAGCTGTCCGTGGTGGCGTGCGTGTGCCCGCTCTTCCGCATCCTCGCCTCGGACAGCCACGGCTGGAAGGAGTACTACTGCGAGCGATGGGGGCTGCCCGGCGCCGTCGCCCCGGCGCACGAATGGAAGCAGCTCTATGTGGCCAGGGAGACGCGCTGCAAGGCGCTGCTGGGGCGATTCAAGCTGGATCTTCTGTGCGGCCACACCGAGACCGTGAGGGCGGTGAGGATGGTACCGGCCAGGAACTTGGTGGTGTCTGCCGGATACGACTCCTCGGTGAGGATCTGGGATGTGGGCGATGGCCTCCCGGCGGCGTGGTCGCAGCCGCTGGGTGAGACCATTCGGGCTGTGGCGGTGGACGGTGAGCTCCTGGCTGTTGGTGGGAGCTCCGTGGTGAGAGTCTGGCACGCCAGCCCGGGTTGCTCCCACCTGTTTGATCTGGCGAGGAACTCGAGCGGGCGGTTCCTGCGTGGACACTCGGGTCCCGTGACGTGCCTGGGCCTGGACGCTGGAGCTCTATACAGTGGTTCCTGGGACATGACCGTGAAGATCTGGAAAAGGCACCGGCTGGAGAAGTTCTCGCAAAGCTTGCACCACTCGGACTGGGTCTGGGGCCTGGTTGCTCGCGGGGAGTGTGTGCTGAGCACCTCCGGCAGTGATGCTTACTCCTGGGACGTGGAGACCGGGGCTTTGCTGAGGTTCCGGCCTTGCGTCCATCGAGGCAATGCTCTTGCCGTGGAAGGCAGCCGGACTGGAAGCTTTCTCATCACTGGCGGAGAGGATGGAGCTGTGCGGGTGTTCGACAACAGGATTCCACCGTCGGTGACTCTGGCAGGAGAATGCAGCGAGAATGACGCGGTGGCAGCATGGCTTCCCCACTCGGCCGCAGTGAATTCTCTAGCTTTTGACGATCCTTCGCTCGTCTCGGCCTCGGCGGATGGCTCCATAGCTCTCATGGACCTGAGGCACGTCATGAGGAAAGGAAGCATCAAGTCGAGAGCGGCAGCCACGGTGAAGCGGCCCTACACTTGCGTGGTGAAAGGAGACACGGTGCAAAGGATGCTGTCCAGCGGTGGCTCTTGTGCTTACTCGGTGGACATTGGCTCGGACAGGATTGTGAGTGCCGGGGAGGGGACGGCGATCAAGGTCTGGGACTTCTCCCAGGCTCTCGAGTTTGAGAAGAAAACACAGGCGCTTCGAAGCGTCCGGAGAGAGCAGAGAGCTCAGCGGAAGCTCGCGATTAAGAACAGGAGAAAGGAATGACTATAGGTGATGCCAGGAACTTCGGTTCAGCGATAAAGGGGATCGACTACACAAAGTTGGTAACGCTCGAGATCGATCTCAACTCACGGACATTATTTCAAAACAAAATGGTCTTGAAGATCATGCTTCTGGAGATCAGTCTCCATTAAAAAAACAAATTTTCTCAATCATTACCGAAGATGTAACTCGAAGATCATGCCTCTGGGAATCAGGCTTCCAACAAAAAACCAAAATTTTCAATATCTTAGAAGTATCAAAGCGAAAGAACACCTTGTACGTGAGTCAATCACGAAGAACCCCGGAAAGAAGGTTGCGAACCTGTCGCATTGTTGGCCTGTTTCCCGGATTGCTATCTACGCATCGCAGCGCCGTGACAAGCACAGTGGTAGCCTCCTCCGCGTTGAAAATTCCCATGAGCCTTGGATCCACGACACCCAAGAGCTTCCCGGCCGCGTACTCCTCCTCCACCCATGGCAGCAGCAGCCATGCTTTGTGATCCTTCTCCTCCTTGGAGCTCCCAATCACGCGCCTCCCAGTCACAACCTCGAGCGCCACCACGCCATAGCTGTAGACATCCGACGCGGGCGTGAACTTGTACGTGACCCCGACCTCGGGCGCGATGTATCCCAGCGTCCCCGCGAGCGTGGTGACGCGTGCGCTCACGTCATGGCTGGCTGTGCGCGCGAGGCCAAAGTCGCCCAGCCTCGCGCGAAACTCGTCGTCCAGCATCACGTTGCTGCATTTCACGTCGCGGTGGATGATCTGCTGCTCCCAGTCCTCGTGGAGGTAGATGAGCGCGGCGGCGAGGCCCGAGAGGATCCGGAGCCGCGCGTCCCAGAGGAGGAGCAGCGCGTCACCTTTGTGGAAGAGCGCCGACTCGACGCTCCCCTGGGGCATGTAGTCGTAGACGAGGACGAGCTCGCGGTGGTCGCGCGCGCAGTGCCAGCCGCGGAGAGGGACAAGGTTGCGGTGGCTGAGCTTGCTGATGATCTGGAGCTCCGCCAGGAACTCTCGCTCGCCCTGGTGCGAGTCCCGCGCCATCTTCTTGATGGCCACCGGGGAGTTCTCGCCGGGGAGGATGCCACGGTAGACGCTGCCAAAGCCGCCTGTGCCCAGGAGGTTGTGCTCGCTAAACTCTTGGGTGGCGGCGGCGAGCTGCGCGTAGGGGATCTCGTGTGGCAGCGGCACAAGGTCCTTGGACAAGCTCTTCTTCTTCTTCTTCTCGGATGGGAAGCCAAGTTTGCTCCAGGGATTTTTGACAAGCCAGCTGACGACAGCGAGGAGCAGCAACGCGGCCAGGAGCGCCAGGAGTGATGCAGTGACGATGAAGTAAACCTTGAATCGATCTTTCTTCTTTCCACCATCGACCACTGTCACTGGTGATGGAGAAGGAATCCTCTCCAATCTGCTCGAGAAGTTCCAGGACAGGATCCGGTGGAAGTCGAGGTTGGCGGTGCCAGAGCCGGCAGAGAAGCCCACGTACGAGACATCGCTGACATAGGCGCACAAATTCACGCTGTGCTCCAGCACCGGGTCGCCCAAGTTCCGGAATGATGGGTCGGAGGAGACGAACACTCGCAGCCTCTGCACGGCGGCATCGTAGTCGATCCTCGCCGCGACGGCACCGAGGCCAAGAGAGATCCCCCGCGGATAGAGCGAGCTCGAGTTCACGGACAGGATCCCGTTGATGTCGAGGCCGACGTGGTTGTCATCGATGTCCTGGAACGCGGGATAGTCTGGTGGAAAGTTCCTGAAAGTGTCGAATTCCACCGCGACGATGCGGTTGCTCGCGCGGCCATTCGCGGAGGGATCGAACAAGCCCAGCCAGCGGCCAAAGCCAGCGGAGGAGGTGGCGACGAGGTTAGGGGCGATAGTGAACGCGAGGCCATCGGCATTGACCTGTGTGGAGTCGTTCTTGGTGATGGCGAAGACGAACTCGGTGGAGAAGGAGGCGCCGGCGCCGGCGGATGCGTTGCAAAGCTGGATCTCCTGCCGCTTCATGATCCTGCCATAGCTCGCCAGGCGATTGCCGGTGAGCCGCAGCTCGCCATTGTTGAAGGTCGCGTCGCCAGTGGCCAGAAACTCGTTGCGTGCCTGGGGCGAGAAGTTGCTGTATGTGAAACTTACGTGATCATCAAGCGCTGCTGTTGCGCCTAGTGCCACGATCGAAAGCACGATCGCCAGAGCTTTGGCCATGGGACCAACCAACGCTAGAAGAGCAAACTCGTGCGTGGTCGACACGGCTAGACCGATGTTGAAGCGTGATCTAATACTTTGAAGGAGGTCCTGGGTTCAATCCTCGGCCTGTTCAAGTCCATTTTCCATCGTCTCTTTTGTTATCGGTACCTTGACAGGATAGTTCCCGGAACTCGAGCCTTTTTTAATTAGTGAGCAATCTGTTAGTAACACTTTCGGTGGACGATGTTTGGCCCATACTCATCGTAGTCTCCCTTGGTGAGATGCTGGTTTTGAGGGAACACCACCTTGGCGAGGATGGCGCCGCCAATCCATGCCGAGTATTGCAGCGTGCGCTCTGGCATGTACTCCGGAGGCTGCGAAAGTGGAGAGAATGAGAAAGACGAAAGCCAGAAAAGTTTCACTGCTTTTTTTTTACCTTCACTACGGAGGGCCGCAAGGAGGGAGTTCCGTGAAGAGACACCTCCTTCTGAAAGCGAGCTTCAAAACCTGGGAAGTGCTTGGAAGGTGAGCTAGGAAAGAACAAAGATCAAATCTTGCCTTTCATCGTTGAAGTGCCTCCACACAGCACAATGTTCTCGATCAAAGGCTTCTGGCATTCGGCGGGAGAGCAGAGGGAAAGGCTTCTCACAAGCTGCTCTGTGATCCCATATTCCTGGATTTCCACAAGTGATGGCTGATAGAGCACCTCACCAAGTGTGTATCTTTCACTTCCAACAGAAATTACCTGTCTCCACAAACACGAGCTATGAAAACATACACAGCAGCAAAAGCTTACCCGACCGTCAGGTAGCGTGTGTTCTATGACAGATCCATCAGCCACCTTCTTCTCGTAATCCACAGAATCGTCCAGACTCACTGCTACTGCTTCTTTGATCTGCTCCAGCGCAAAACCATCCAGCTTCGTGTGAGGATTGGACTTGGCCAGCTTAGCCCCGAGGAGCTCTGTCAAGTCCTGTCCAGCGTACTCGAACCGCTTGACGGCGTTGTGCTGGATTCCACCCTCCCACACGGGCGCAATATCTGCAGCGAAAACAAGTCTTGTGCACCATTCGTTACATTGTTACACAACGTTACCAGAGCCACTGTGAATGAGTACCTATTTTCCCATGTCCGACGTCCACTGCACAGCCAGAGATGCGTCCCACAGCATACACGGACAGCACTGGTTGCTCCACGGCATAGAAGCCATTCACATTGAAAGTTTCAAACATAAGTTGGACGGTCTTCTCCCTTGCAATCTGTCACAGAAAATCAAGCATGAGTTTCAAACAGTTCACAGATGCCATGACGATGACAAGGAGTCCAAAAAAAAAGCGAAAACCATGTCCATGACTTGATACAAAGAAGAAGTCATGCAAAAAGATAGAAGAACAAGGATACCGAAAACCATGTCTCCCTAGCTACGAGTGAACACAAAGAAGTCAGTCATACAAAATGAAAGAAAGAAGAACGAAGGAAACAAAGAAAGGACAAAAGAAAGAGGCTTGCCTTTCGTGTGAGCAGTGAGTCGGCAATTAAAATTTGGCCCTCGTTTCCAACCTCCCAGCCCAGGCCTGTGTAGAAAACATACCTCCACAGGTCTTCCATGGCTTCCCAGTCATGGATAGCTCCTCTCTCGATGGGATTCACGGCATTCTCCTTCCAATCGTCTCCATTCAAGTCGATCTTGTCGATGTCGCCCTCGTCCGCCTTGGTCATTGCCGTTTGCATCACCTACAGGCGGAGCGCAAGCATCTAAACCCAATGCCGATGGATTCCTAGAGTGATTACCAGCTGAGGATCTTGCTCGGGGATCGCGAAGCCGGCCTTGAGCAGCCTGGAGCCGGCGTCGATCACTATCGCCTCTGCTGCCATAGCGGACAAGAACCCTAAATTCTCTCGGTTTGCTTTATATCTCGCGTTCGATTCTCCTGGCTAACAAAAAGCTAACAAAACTTCGTCGTTAGGCGGCCATAACTAGAACTTTGATGGTTCCCTGGCTATTGGCGGCTAACAAAGTTGGACTGTCGCTCTTCCAACACACGGCGCTGATGAAATGCAATGAGTCGTCTAAGCTTCCAAATCGGTGTCGAGTTGCTGGTCTAGAGATCGCCTGGAAAAAAAAAAAAGTATGAGAAACACTTCCGAAGATGAGAAGAAAAATTCGCATTTTTACCTTGTGATACACGAACACTTCGTTGGTTTCACTTCCACAGGTTACGTAGTCACTGTTACCGCTCAAACCAACGAAGTTCCTCTCGTTGATATGCCCAGTTAGCGTTCTAATCTGCATGGAAGCTAGAAGTTTAAAACAAGAGCTTCAAAACAAGAGCGAGCTTACCGGAGTGTTGGTTCTGACATTCCAGATCCGCAAGGTGCTATCAGTCGATGCGGACACGAGCTCCTCCGGCGTGATGAACTTCACGTACGAGACGGTCTTTTGGTGGCCGCTAAAGGTGTGGACTGGCGAAGCAGGAGAGCGCAAATCGTAGTAATGTATGCGGTGATCGGCCGATCCAACCTGCAAATGCTTGGAAATGAATAAAACACCACTGCACCAAACCGATAACTCACAAGAGATAGAAAAAGAGTACCGCTACAAAATTGCTGGAGCTGGGATTGAACTTGACGCAGCAGATGTTGGCTTTCATGTCGATTCCCATGACGCTGCTCTCCTGTCGAGTAGACCACACTTTGAGCTGCAAGTTTTTCTCAAAGTTAGATGGAAACAAAGAATTTTCAAAAAGATACGTTCTAACCTTGCCATCGTCACTGCCAGAAACAAGTAAATTGGGATCGGTTCTAGCAAAATCGACACTCCACGCTCGCTTGGCATGCTCTTCGTACTCCATGATACTCTGAAATCAAGATAGGAACGGATGATAAGATTCAAGCTCTCTAACATTCATTACCTGCGCATTATTCACGTCCCATATGGTGACACTCCCATCGTAGTCGCTGCTCGCAATGTGGTGTTTGATGCATTTGTTCCAGCTGAGGCAGCTGAGCTTCGCACGCGAAGGGATCTCCATCGCCGGATAATGCACGTCCGCGCTGCTATTAACAACCTGTAACCACACCTTCGGTCAGGAGTGACTTAAGAAAACAATGGTAAACTCGTTACTTACGGCAGAGTACTCGAACACTTTTATCCTACGGGACACTCCCGCAGTAGCGAAGAACTCGTCGTCCCTGTCAAACTCTATGCTGCGAACAAAACAAGCGTTCGTTTTTCTCAGTTCTTAGAAACTAGCTTTTACGCAAACCTGGAGACTATATTGGAATTCTGGAAAAGATCAGGATGTCGTACTTCAGCGACCACCCGGAGCTGGCTGCGGTTACAAGAGATCCAAAGATGTAAATCCGAGTCAACAACAAAACTAGCTTTACTTCACCTGTATCGCGTGAAAGAATTAAGAACGGCTTGGAAGTCTTCCAATCCTGTGGCATGACTCGACAAGCTCTCGCCTGTCTCACTAGGATCTTGTGATTGCTTTCGCTTTTGCAAATAACAATCTTGCAGGTCTTCAAACTGTGCACCACACACAGAGGAAGTTGGCCGACTGTTACAATCAAGAAAGCCAAGGAGCATACCTGAGAAAGCACTCGCCTCTTTTTCGAAAGAACCTCACTTTCTCTCACTCCAGACGTTCCCTCGTCATCAGTTTGCGCTCGCTTAAGACGAGCTTTTTCTCCATCCGGGGATCTCCCTTCCGCTTCGGACGCCTTGGCGCGACAGCGAGAGCTAGGAAGCTTTTGGTGAACAGGCGACGCATGACGTTCTTTGGATTTCTTCAAGCTAGTCGCCTGCTTTTCAACAGCAGCAATGTCTTCCTTGAGCCATTGCAGGTCTGTTTGTATCTGAACGAAGAAAACGTCGTGAGTAAGATCACAGGTCCGGAGTTCTCACCTCGTTTAACTCTTGCTGCTTCTGTTGCCTTGACCGCTGCAAGAAATCATGCAAGACCTCCAAATTTGTTTCAGCCTCCTCCCGTTCGGCCTTGCGTTTCTTTTCAGTCAACAAACTCAAAAGTGTATCGATGTCTTTCATCGAGATGTCTGCTCCCTGAGAATCACAAACAAAACATCAGCACAATCACTAAAAACCAAACTTTTCGACAAAAAAGACCTGTTTGAGAGCAAGCCGCAGGTGCTCTCCCGGTGACGCAGAGCTGGCAACTTGGCACACACTCGCCTTCCTCAAAATCTAGAACAGAGGAAACCATGGAACATCAAACTTCCGAGCAAGATGGCAAAACAAATCGATGGTACCTTGTTGAGAAGGAAATTTGGGTAGAGCTGGCCGCTGGTCAAGTAAGCTCCACAGCAGGGACAGTTGCTCTTGATGTTTAGATGCGTCATGATGCACATATAGCAAAAGCTGTGGCCGCAGCTCGTCAAAAACGCGTCTTTGATCGTCTGGATGCATATCGGGCACAGGAAATCCCTGTCGAGCTCGAGATTGTAGCTGGAGGCCTCGGTTCTCGTCCCACACACGGATGGAACTTGGGCAGCGTCAGAGGGGCGAGCTTGCATCTCCGTGAGCCTCTAACATTCTCTCGCCTTAATAGGACGAACTTACAAGACCCCGCACTTCTTCTTTTCTGCCTTCTTCGTCTTCTCGCCCGTCCCGCTCTAGGGATTATTGTTGTGTGAGAGCGAGGAATGTCGGGCATATTCTAAGGGTGATTACGTGGCCGGCCGTGATTGGAGGACATCTCAGGTCGGTAAGAAGCCACGATAAGGGCCATCCCGCCGTCCAGGCCCACGTGGTGTCTACCAGCTTCAACTTCGTCAAACCAACCAAGAGTCAAGTCAATGCGTAGAAACAGTAGTCTCACAAGAGATGACGGTGTGAAATGTGCTCCGGAATGTGCTCTCTAGCTTTTGACGATCGTCTCGGGCTCGGCGGATGGCTCCATAGCTCTCACGGACCTGAGGCACGTCACGAGGAAAGGAAGCATCAAGTCGAGAGCGGCAGCCACGGTGAAGCGCCCCTACACTTGCGTGGTGAAAGGAGACACGGTGCAAAGGATGCTGTCCAGCGGTGGCTCTTGCGCTTACTCGGTGGACATTGGCTCGGACAGGATTGTGAGTGCCGGGGAGGGGACGGCGATCAAGGTCTGGGACTTCTCCCAGGCTCTCGAGTTTGAGAAGAAAACACAGGCGCTTCGAAGCGTCTGGAGAGAGCAGAGAGCTCAGCGGAAGAACGCGATTAAGAACAGGAGAAACTAGTAGGTGGTGCCAGGAACTTCGGTTCAGCGATAACTACACAAAGTTGGTAACGCTTGAGATCGATCTCAACTCGACATTATTTCAAAACAAAATGATCTTGAAGATCATGCTTCTGGAGATTAGTCTCCATTAAAAAACCTAACCTCCCACGCCATAGCTGTAGACATCCGACGCGGGCGTGAACTTGTACGTGACCCCGACCTCGGGCGCGATGTATCCCAGCGTCCCCGCGAGCGTGGTGGTGCGTGAGCTCACGTCATGGCTGGCTGTGCGCACGAGGCCAAAGTCGCCCAGCCTCGCGCGAAACTCGTCGTCCGGCATCACGTTGCTGCATTTCACGTCGCGGTGGATGTGCTCCCAGTCCTCGTGGAGGTAGATGAGCGCGGCGGCGAGGCCCGAGAGGATCCGGAGTCGCGCGTCCCAGAGGAGGAGCAGCGCGTCACCTTTGTGGAAGAGCGCCGACTCGACGCTCCCCTGGGGCATGTAGTCGTAGACGAGGACGAGCTCGCGGTGGTCGCGCACGCAGTGCCAACCGCGGAGAGGGACAAGGTTGCGGTGGCTGAGCTTGCTGATGATCTGGAGCTCCGCCAGGAACTCGCGCTCGCCCTGGTGCGAGTCCCGCGCCATCGTCTTGATGGCCACCGGGGAGTTCTCGCCGGGGAGGATGCCACGGTAGAAGGTTGTGCTCGCTAAACTCTTGGGTGGCGGCGGTGAGCTGCGCTTAGGGGATCTCGTGTGGCAGCGGCACAAGGTCCTTGGACGAGCTCTTCTTCTTCTTCTTCTTCTCGGATGGGAAGCCAAGTTTGCTCCAGGGAATTTTAACAAGCCAGCTGACGACCGCGAGGAGCAGCAACGCGGCCAGGAGCGCCAGGAGCGCCAGGAGTGATGCAGTGACGATGAAGTAAACCTTGAATCGATCTTTCTACTTTCCACCATCGACCACTGTCACTGGTGATGGAGAAGGAATCCTCTCCAATCTGCTCGAGAAGTTCCAGGACAGGATCCGGTGGAAGTCGAGGTTGGCGCTGCCAGAGCCGGCAGAGAAGCCCACGTACGAGACATCGCTGACATAGGCGCACAAGTTGACGCTTTGCTCCAGCACCGGGTCGCCCAAGTTCCGGAATGATGGGTCGGAGGAGACGAACACTCGCAGCCTCTGCACGGCGGCCTCGTAGTCGATCCTCGCCGCGACGGCACCGCTGCCAAGAGAGATTCTCCGCGGATAGAGCGAGCTCGAGTTCACGGACAGGATCCCGTTGATGTCGAGGCCGACGTGGTTGTCATCGATGTCCTGGAACTCGGGATAGACTGGTGGAAAGTTCATGAAAGTGTCGAATTCCACCGCGACGATGCGGTTGCTCGCGCGGCCATTCGCGGAGGGATCGAACAAGCCCAGCCAGCGGCCATAGCCAGCGGAGGAGGTGGGGACGAGGTTAGGGGCGATAGTGAAGGCCAGGCCATCGGCATTGACCAGTGTGGAGTCGTTCTTGGTGATGGCGAAGACGAACTCGGTGGAGAAGGAGGCGGCGGCGCTGGCGGATGTGTTGCAAAGCTGGATCTCCTGCTGCTTCATGATCCTGCCATAGCTCGACAGGCGATTGCCGGTGAGCCGGAGCTCGTCATTGTTGAAGGTCGCGTCACCAGTGGCCACAAAATCGTTGCGTGCCAGGCCCGAGAAGCTGCTGTATGTGAAACTTACATGATCATCAAGCGCTGCTATTGCGTCTAGTGCCACGATCGAAAACGCGATCGCCAGAGCTTTGGCCATCGGACCAACCAACGCTAGAAGAGCTAGACCGTGGAGCTTTTAACCAGTGAGCCAGCAAGAGCTGCAATACTTTGAAGGAGGTCCTGGGTTCAATGCGCGGCTTGTCCAAGTCCATTTTCCATCTTCTAGGCTGACAGGATAGTTTCCAACGCGGAGGAGGCTGCCACAGCACGGCGCTGGGTCCCAGGATCCTCCAGACCGCGTACTCAGCCAACAGCCACGCAGATGTGGACTTCAAGTATGCTTGGATGCTGAAACATTCATTGTTTCAGGTCAGGAGCTGGAAAATCTTCTAACTAACCTTCTACTTATATTGGGCACTTGAACAATTTTCTATGAATATTCAAGGATCGAGTACAACACTTGGATCCCGCTGCCACATGAAATCCCTTACGAACCTTTTTGAGTTAGTGAGCAATCTGTTAATAACACTTTCGGTGGACAATGTTTGGCCCATACTCATCGTAGTCTCCCTTGGTGAGATGCTGGTTTTGAGGGAACACCACCTTGGCGAGGATGGTGCCGCCAATCCATGCCAAGTATTGCAGCGTCTGCTCTGGCATGTACTCTGGAGGCTGCGAAAGAGGAAGAGAATGAGAAAGACGAAAGCCAAAAAAGTTTCATTGAGGGAGTTCCTTGAAGAGAGAAAGTGAGCTTCAAAACCTGGGAAGTGCTTGGAAGGTGAGTTAGGAAAGAACAAAGATTAAATCTTGCTTTACCAAGCTTGCATCTCTGTGAGCCTCTATTATTCTCTCACCTTAATAAGATGAACTTACAAGACCCCGCACTTCTTCTTTTCTGCCTTCTTCGTCTTCTCGCAGGGATTATTGTTGTGTGAGAGCGACAGGCATATTCTAAGGGTGATTACGTGGCCGGCTGTGATTGGAGGGCATCTCAGGTCAGTAAGAAGCCACGATAAGGGCCATCCCGCCATCCAGGCCCACGTGGTGTCTACCAGCTCCAACTTCGTCAAACCAACCAAGAGTCAAGTCAATGCGTAGAAACAATAGTATCACAAGAGATGTGAAATGTGCTCCGGGAGTTACAATCGCCAAAGAAAAGGCAACGAGAAGAGGATCTAGGCAAGAAGGTAAACATACATAAAAAGGTGGCCAGGAATCAAGCTCACGTTAGCAGACCTAGGATTGTTGGCAAGAACTTTTCTATGGAGAGATTCATTTGCAGGTGATCGTGCCTCAAGTCTAAGGGAGGAACAAGATCTGCCTTTTGCTTCCACCTGAACTTCTGTTCCACTTGATATGAGTTTGCAGACCGATGCATCTCATTGTTGTCATGATCACTCTTGTTGTCGTCATCTATGACAATAATTGGCAGCTTTGCCTTGAGCTGTTTAAGGATCATATATTCTATCAATGTATCTAAATCATATGAGAATGGGTATGTCTTTGCCTTAATTATTGATCAATCTCCAGCTTTTCTTCTCTTCTTGCCCACCTCAATCATTCTCCTTTAGCATTTCTTCTCTTCCCTATGTGGTGTGGCTGAATGACAAAAGCATTTGTGGTGGGTGAGAAGAAGAGATTGATTGATGTGGGCGAAACTGAAAGAGAAAGTGTGAAGTGATCAATGTGGGCAATTTATTTTAATGATGATGCAATCCAACAATTGTATCATCTCCGTCATAAGTCATTTAAATTAATAATGCAATTTAATTCTTGTTTCGTTGTGTCTTGCACTAGCTACCCTTGTATATTAAGACTAATCCCTCAATATATACACTAATGAATCTTGTTTCAGAACACTCTGTAAGATTAACCACATATATTAAAAGCTCACAATTCCCAACCTTGTTTATAGAGAAGAATCTCACAAACATTTAATCTTTTATATACTATTTACATGGTCCTGTAATGCCCACCATGAAGCATGATTTAAAAGATTTAAAAATGTTGATTTAAAGAAGATTGTCGTTATAATGCTCCCAAACACCAGTGTTATGTCCACTGAGTCATGTCTTCCTGCTCTTCAATCAAATGCCGTCAATGCACGCTACCGAAGTCAACGGCAACAAATCTCGAGTTTAAATTGATAATAGCTGAAGACACGAAATAGTAAAGGTTCATAGATCAATGTCAAGGCAGAAACGAGCACTATAGCGGGCTTCCAAGCTAGCAAGCTTTATCTGGAAATCTCGCTCCAGCTCGAACCTACGCTGCGCGCGCTGGGGATCCAATCCTTCCCTTGGCGCGGCGCTCGAACCCACGAACTTTAACAATGGGCACCGCTTCATCAACTCTTCGATCACATTTATGATAGCGCTGCCATTTCTCTGCTGGATCCCAAGGATCTTCATCTCGAGCACGCCAAGCTTCTTTAGGTGATGGCAGTTGGAGTAAACACCATTCTGGAACAGAAAAGCAGCAAAATCTCCAGTGCTAAGTATACGAGAGCTTTGTACCTTGGAGTCCTTGAAAACAGGAGACCGGAGTCTTGTAAATCTCTCCATGAGAGAAAAGGAGAGCCACTCTCCCTCAATAATCAAAACATCTGCTGGATCAAACCCAGATATGCTGAGCATATGGACACGCTCCAACTCTGTCGTCGAAGCTACGAACATATGGACATGCTCCAACTCTGTCGGAGCTACGGCCGCAATGACTTCCGTGTAAGCGCTTGAGACTGGGCGCATCCAAATGGATGCGTGAGAGAGGGCGGTTATGTCGAAAAGCAGCTGTAGATCCTTCGTGGTATCCCCAAAGCTCAGGCTTGAGTAGATATCCATCACCTTGAGCTTGCAATGATCTCAGCCACAGTCCATCGGTGAGGCCGGTGATACAAATCACCGTCAAGTTGCACGCACTCGCGCAGATCACCCACGCACTGATAGCAGCCCCAAGCTTTCGAGCGATAGCAGCCCCAAGCTTTCGAGCGATCAATGTTGCTAGTACGCAACACAATGAGTAGGTTTGCGCCCTGGATAGCTGCTGCGACAGTGCCTCTTGAGTCTTGACAGATCCTGGATGATCATCGACGCTACCTGGAACTGGCTCGATGTTGCGACCATGCGGTGGAGAAAGCTGACCACCACATCGTCCGGGAGGAGCGCGAAAGGATCCGGCACGGGCACCGCCATAAATAATCTCCTTCTGCGGTGGAAGTAATCCAAAGATCAAAGATAAGAGCATAAACCCTAAACCCTAAACTTTCAAAATTAAAGATGGATCTTCCTCGTTGGAATCCTTTACGTGATTCGCACTGCCGCTGCTCTTGCTGCTCTTGCTGTTGCCCGATCCAGGCCTTCGTTGCTGCCCGGCATTCGAAACGTTCTTGTTCGCCGCGGCTCGCGTCCTCCGGCCCTGTGGAATCAAGAGCGCGAACCAAACTATCATCACAAGCACGAATGCGCGATCGCCGACAGTACCTTGCCCAGGCACTTCTCGAGATGAGGAGCAAATCGCCCAGCGGCGACGGAGCGGCCGCAATTCATGCACTGGAGCTGCTGGCTCGCGATCGCGGGATGCGATTGCCCAAACATATCCACCACATACTTCTCTCCTCCTCCTCTCTCGCTCCCAGCACTGCCACTCTCCGCCAAGCTCCTGGCCTGCGATGACAGCCGGAGCTCCTCCTCCTCGCCCATCTCAATCCTCGGATCAAATCCCAGCCGCGCGGCCCGGTGCGCCTCGGCAGCCACATCCACGATGAGCGAATCCAGAATTTCCGCAAAGATCGCGGCCTCCTGCAACGATTTCAATCAAAGCTTCCACGATCGACACGCGCCTACCTGAGCTGGAAATCTGGAAGACGAAGAATCACTGTCCATGGAAGTCCATCACGAGCCCTAAAAATCCTGCTTTAAGCTCCTGTCAAAACATGAGGAGGTTGATCGATCATCCTCAACGCCCGCTTGAGCCCGCGGTACGTCCGCGCGTCCGGCACGAATCCACACTCGCTCATCTCGCGAAACATCCCATACGCCTCCTCGTTCCGGTCGACCATCGACAGCCCCCAGATCATGGTGTTGTAAGTGACAACGTTTGGCCGGCACGCCATCTCCCTCATCACCTTGCCTCCCTCGTCCACTCGGCTCGCCCGGCAGTAGCCCCCGATGAGCGCGCTGTAAGTCACCACATTCGGCGAGCACTTGTTCGCGACCAGCTCGCGGAAGATCTCGTGCGCGTCGTCCACCCGGCCCACCTTGCACAGCTTGTCGATCACCACCGTGTACGTGACCACGTCCGGGATGCATCCCTGCGAAACCATCCTCCGGAGCAGCCCCAGCGCCGAGTCGAGGCGGCCGGCGGCCGAGAAGCCGAGGACGAGCGGAGTGTAGGCGACGAGGTCCGGCCGGCATCCCTCCGAGACCATCCTGTCCAGGAGCTGCTGCGCCTCGTCGAGCTGGTCCGACTTGCACAGCCCGTCGATGACGACGCTGTAGGTGACGAGGTTGGGGTGGAAGTCGCGGTCGATCATCTCGTTGAACACCTCGAGCGCGTCGGCGAGGCGGCGCGCGCGGCACAGCCCGGTGATGATGGCGTTGAAGCTCACCAGCGTGGGGACGTAGCCCTCCTCGGTCATCTGCGTGAAGGTGGCGAGCGCCTCGTCGACGCGGCCGAGCTGGAAGAGCGCCGCCATGAGCGTGTTGTACGTGACCACGTCCGGCGCGAAGTCGCGCTTGCGGGCCTCGGTGATGACGGCCCGCGCGGCGTCCAGCCGGTCCTGCTTGCACAGCCCGTCCACCAGCGCGTTGTACGTGAATGCGTTTGGGCGGCACCCCCCCGCGGCCACCATCTTCCGGAAGAGATCGAAGGCGGCGTCGACGCGGCCGAGCTTGCACAGCCCGTTGATGAGCGTGGTGTAGGAGACTACGTCCGGCTGCGCGTGCGCGAGCTCCAGGGAGGCGTCGAAGTGCTCCAGCGCCTGGGCGACGCGGCCGCAGCGGCACAGCCCCTGGAGGATGATGCTGGTGGTGCGATCGTTGCACTGCATGCCCTCCACGTCCATCTCCCGGAGCAGCGAGAAGGCCGCGTCCAGGTCGCTGGCGTTGCAGAAGCCGCGGATGAGGACGTTGTATGTGACGCTCGAGGCCGGGAGCTGGCATGGGTTCTCGCGGAAGAGCTGCAGCGCCTGGTTGTGGCTGCCGGCGCGGACCATCGCGGCCAGGAGCGTGTTCCAGGTGAAGGTGTTGTGGAGGAAGCGCGGCTGTTGCTGCGACCACCGGAAGAAGCGCAGCGCGAGGGACGAGGAGGTGAGCTCGCGGAGGACTCTGGTGACGGTGCGTGGCGTGAGGTTCGTGGAGGACTCGCCCAGAGCTGCGTAGTTGCCCGCCACCTGGGACTCCTCCATGAGCTTCACGAGGGCCTCTTCCTCGCCGCTTCTGCCGTTTCTGCTGCCACCATTGTTGCCACCATTGCCATTGCTCCCGTTCTTGCCGTTCTTGTGAGCGCCATTTGCTGCTGTTCTTCTGATCACTTCCACCACTCCGCCGCTGCCACCGTTGCCGCTGCTGCTGCTGAACCTCCTCCGCATTTCGACCTAGTCCTTTGTCGATAATTCACTGCTTGTTGAGCTCGCTTCTTCTTAGCGACCTCGTTGTGATTGTAGCTTTCGCCTCGATCTTGAAGCGAGCTCTGTAATGTCTAGGAAGAACGGACCTTTTGCTCTTGGGCCACTTTGTGATCCACAGCGCTCCCAGATCCTTTTGCGCTGTATCCTCGCTAGATCCTGGGCAAACAAAACAAGTACGGGAATTTAGACCCAAAAAAACTAATGAGAACCAGTTACCTTGAATTTGTAGCAATGTGTTATGTACATGGTTGTCCCTCTCGTGAGGCTGGGGACGAGGACGTCTCGAGAATGTACGTGTAGGTGATTTAACCGCAGCGTCTCTACTGCTTTGAGCCGCCTGTTGTTCAATCCAATCCATCTCTTCGTCTTGCACGCTCCGACCATTCCTCTTTGGCTGCTCTCGTTTGTCTTGAAGAGAACTCGAGCTCTCCAAAGGCTTGTTGCTTTTCATCTCAGGCTTCCGAAGTGACTTCAAGCCATGAGCTATCCACGAGGAAGATTTCACCTGTAGCAATTGAAGCGAGTGAGATGGAGCTGAGGGAGTTCCAAACTTGAGCTTACCAGCCGATTGGATCTTGTTTTTGCAACTACGACTGGCCTTGTTATCTCCACACTGAAAACACAAACGTGGATATATAAAAAAAATGTTGTTGCAAGGCATAAAAATTTACGTACACTTGGTGATCCTCACTCGATTCGGGAGAGCTGGCTGGAGCTCGCCTTGTGTGCAAGACTTTCGGAGCCGAGGACGATTTGCTAGCAGAAAACCGACTAGGTACCTTTGCAGGCTGTCGATTTGTTTCCAATGCTTTCTCAGGTTGTAGACCGGGCACCTTTGCAGGCTGTCGATTTGCTTCCAATGCTTTCTCAGCTTGTAGACTAGGCTGTCGATTTGTTTCCAACGCTTTCTCTGGTTGTAATTTCCGTTCCGAACGGTGGTGAGCCCTTCTTGACATTGGTTTTGCCAACACTTTTTCGTCATCGGTTTTCTCCGCACTCGATTCTTCACCTAAGAGAGACTGGTAGGCCAATTCCTCTGCAAGGATAGAAAGATTATAAGAAGAGACAGAGGGTACTGACTATTACCTGCAACAGGTGTCAATTTTCGCCCGCATTCTAGCCAAGTCAGAGGCTTTTGCAAGACACTTGAACCCGGAAAAGTCACGATGTTCAGCTCCATAAGTTGGATTCCCTGAGCAGCAGTCAGTTTTTGGAACCCGAAAGCGCTTGTCCATGTTTCTATAAACTCTGCGATCGCCGGAAGGACTAGTGTTTGAACTTCCAAGGTATGGAGAACCTTTCACATTATTTAGCACAGTAAGCTACTAAGACACCTAAACACTGAAGCAGGCTTACTTGTTGAATGACATTTATGAGGCGCCGACACATTCCCTGTTTTCGATATTGAGACCGGGTTCCAATGAAAGGTATTTCCGCAGCGTGAGATCCATGGACTCTGGTCACTCAAATTGTCACTCTTAACCCCTTCAAGTTTGACTTGACTCACCTCATGGACGCAACGGAGATCAACTCCTGCTCTTTCTCTAATACCACAGTATAAAAGCCACGAAAATCCATACGCTTGTCTTCACCTCTGTACAAAGAGCGGCGAGTTAAAGGACCGACCAGAAAAGAGGATTTCAGTCACCTTCGGTTATAAAGGATGTGAGAAACCATGTCTATATTTGATCGAGGGTCAATCATCGGTCGAAAGCACTCTTGAATGACGGTGAGAGCAAGCGCCAGCCGTGTATTTAAATCTGCAACACTTTCCAACTTGGAGTTCTCTTCGGATTGATCATAATGTTCTGAGCGTAACAGCGTCCAGGAGTACATGTCATCCACTTTGTTTACCCTCCCAACCAGTTTCCTCAAGCCTCGAAAAATCTGTTACTCAAACCATGAAATGAAACGATAAATATTTTTTAGAAAGAGCATACCTTTAAGCACTTTCGACTGCAGAACTGGTTATCACTAGATTCGTACTTCATTGCACTGCCAGGAACACAGTTGGAATGATCTGAAAAACACTAACGTGTTAGCTATCGACGCAAACTTTTTCAATTCTACTCACATTCGCGCTCGCACTGATCACAGTACAGGATCTCGGTTTGGATGGTCGGATCGTATAAGCTGCGGCCACAGCTTGCACAGCAACACCTGGGACAGAACCAATCGCCTTCGGGAACATTCTGTCACAAATAAAACAGTTGGAGCAACTGGCGAGTGACTGATTGCGTACCTCTAGACGAAGACATTTCAGGTGAAATGTTGATGGACAGTGATCACAACAGACGAGTTGACCACCATCCCCACACACTGCGCAAGTGTCGTCGTTCTCATCCATTTCAACGTCATCAACCACGAGCTCTGACTCTTTTAATTCCATCGCCTTCAGAGCCGCTAACTGGCAGTCTAGGATAGACCTCCCGTCAGGCAAACGCATTTGGGAGGCTCCTCCTGTGGCGTCAGCATGCGCCTGAAAGCTAGAAACTGAAAAGTTCTTCTTGCAACAGTTGCACAGTATTCCGTCGCTCGTAACAATTCCACTGTGTATGAGGTTTGTGTCCGAGTTCACTAACTGGACCTTCTCACCCTCATTGAGAACTGCCATGTCGATCAACCAGGAGAAAAGTGTCATGCGTTTGATGAAGCTTACTTCAGCGTCCTCTTCTTGCCTCGGCCTTGTAGGTGTAGATAAAACAGCCTCCAATCGACAACCTGTTCTTGACCTCCCATTCCTGTTCTCATTATTCCCTTTTTTTGTTAGCTTTTTCTGCTTCGCGGTCTCTTCTACACTGTCCTCTCTAACTTTCCGAGTCCTGTGCCAAGATACGATCTGACTAGCCTCCTTCCCAGAGCGAGGAAGAAAACCATAATCACCTCTGGCAATGAGCTGAAGATGAGAAAGCTTCACACGGTCTTTTGCAGGCTTAGCGTGCTTGTTCCGGCGCAACCATTCTCTGCATGCGGTCGCTAGTGACATGTACGGCTTCCCCTCCGGGGAGATATAAAACGGCTCCTTTGCTGTTCTGCTAAATCGTTCTCTCAGTCTGTGGCAAACTGTCCAGCCTGATTCGAAGAGGAGTTTTCTGGCTTTATCTCGTGCCACTGCCAATACTGTACCCTTGGAAGAAATAGATGAATCTTGACTCGCCCAGTGTCTCGAGTTTTTAGTACCGCGGGTGCATGCCTCGTCGTCCTTGGCTTGTGCCTCCTCAATCAGCTCGGTAGCGTCTACCAGCTTGCGATAGGAACGACGACGGGTTACCTCGATTGAAACTGGCTCACACAACATTTTCCTGGCAGAGTGATTCTTGTTCCCT